AACAGTATGGAATATTTTGCAAAATCTAGTTTAGGACAGTTTACTGAAGTAAGTGGCTACATTTACCCTAGTGAGTCTTAAAGGTCACATGCAACGTAAAGTACAACTTTGCAGATTCTGATACCTTTCGGTATCATCAAAAATGCAAATTCAACTTATTAAGTTGAAAAATAACGTGCGAAATCGTAGTTCAAACGATTCACTAATTTTCCCCCAGCGTTTGGGGGGAATTCAAGTGGTTTCAACAGCTGGGCTGTGCTCATAGCACGTGCGCAGTGAAATAGGCTCGCGCAACTTGGAAGCGGGTTGTCCGGTGAATACTCAGTGAAGGCTTTGGTGTGAGCTATTTTTCTAATGTTTTGTTGATATCTCACAGGCGCGAGCTTTTTTATATGTTCTGAAAGTAAATTAACTATTTATATAATTTCATTTGTCTATTTCACCACACGTTCTCCTTACCGAGTCACTTTCTCAGTTCGATACTTAAAAGCAATGTCATTATTTAGCGTTGACACAATTTCTAAATGTGATATAAATATGTCGTTGTCACAGACAAAACTCAATGTCTTGTTTTATTGACACCTGTGTGTCTGCCTGTCTGCTAATGACCATATTCAATACACAACTGCGAACACTGACCACATGCAATTTGAACTTAACACCAATCAGGCTATACACCATAAACAAAATGCATTGATTTATGGCCCGAGTTCGGTCTCTGTCACATTATGTAATTACACAGACAGGCAGGTGTGATACTTGTACACATGGCATGTTATGATGTCTGTTGATTGCAAAATGTTATACCACAAAAAATGAGCATGTATTTACAAAACCCAACATCTCTATATATACACACACAATGAGCCGTGAGGGCGTCTGCAAATGAACCAGCCGTTACACTTGAGTGCACACCCACCCGCTCTGACTGGGTTCGGTATCCCGGCTGCTTCGTTTCTTGGGAAGTAAATCCAAGTACACAATATTGCACTTTTGATTAGCGATTGTAGGCTTATAATTTTGTTTATATGTTTTTTCATAACCAGCAATGTATATTATATGTCATGAATAAGTGATAATTGTGTTTTAATTATGTTTGATTTTTTTGTTGCATGTGACCTTTAACTTTTGATGGGTATTATATAAAACCAAATAGATCGTCAGACCGCGTGGGAAATACGCAGCATGTCGGAAAGAGCACGTGAAATCTCCAGAGAAAGCACGCAAGATCGTCGTCAGAGAAAACACACGAGAAACCCATATGTACCGTATATTTGAATTTCTCACTGTTCGTCGCTCTATCCCCATAAAAAAAACAATTTGTAGGGCTGGGACGGGTCCAAATTTTCTACCCGGGTACCCCACCCCCTATTACCCTACCCTACCCGGATATCCGTTTTGTTAATTCCTGACATCAAATTTGTAAGCAATATATTCTTCAGCTCGGAGACAATTTCAAGTTTATCTAATATCTTATCCACGCATTATATTCAAAACAGGTGACTGCACAATTATGTCTAAATCTTCAAAGACAATACAACCTTTTTATCATGAAAGAATAACATATTACATACTTTAATCTATTAGTCACATGATCGTAACGGGTCCGGGTCTGAGACGGATACCCGGGTCCAACTCATTACCCACCCGTCCCAGCCCTAACAATTAGGCAACATAGGTCTGATAATATCAAAATGACCACATATGTCTTTTACGATTTATTAAACAATCGCATACTGCTATATCAGATTTAAGGGACCGTTCATAATTTATGGCTAGGGTGGTTTATGATGATCTTAAGGGGGGGTCACCCATTTTGTTCTGGGGAGGTAGGGGGTTCACCAATTTTGTACGTTTCTAGGGGGGTCAGCAATTTTGTACATAAAAATATTAAAAAATTATGCTTTAAAAATATGGAAAGGGGGAGGGGGGTCAATGATTTTGTACATGACATGCGGGGGTCACCTACTTTTTTGGGGGGTGGGTGTCATTCACATTGTACATGCTTCTCCATAAAAATCATCATCACACACACACACACACACACACACAGCCATAAATTATGAACGGTCCCTAAGTACTCGGGATTATTTTTACCCAAGACAAGTACACCCTTCCTTCTTTGCGCGGCATTTAGAATTTGAACCCAACGTTCTGATAGGTTTCTTGTATGTATCGATTGGAGGGACTAGTCTTCTTGGAGGTGAGGTGGGGTGAAATTGGGTTTAACGTCGTGTTTGAGAATATTTCGCTCATATGACGACGTGCATGTGTATGTGCGGCTGCTTGTACTAGCCCATACTTAAGCTGGTTTTATAGTGCTAGCCCACTGAGATACCATGCCGCAGTGAAGCATGAATACCCCACTCAGACACATTATACTGACTCCGAGCCGACCAGTCCTTGATGTACCCATTTATGCCGAGCGCCAGGCAGGGACCAAAAAGTACCATATTTTAACGACTTTTGGTATGACGCGGTCGCGATATCGAACCCGCGACCTTCCGCTCTCCGGCGGTAGTCTTCTTGGAGGTTACGGAAAGGGACAAGTGTTTAACATGGATACCCCACCCAGCAACAACGGCCCTTTTTGCCGAGTACCAGATAGCCTAACAAGTACCATCTGTTGGTCGTGGCTGTGGGGTTGAACCAATGATTTTACACTGTCCAGCAGATGTATCAATTATTCCACGGTTAATGTCCCTGTCAGGAAATACTTGTAGTAGTTGGTGTTAGGAAGTTCATTACTGCCAAGACAACCTTTTTGTGAAGGTTCTCATACATTCAGAAGTGATGTGATGTTTACCAAGACATCTACACAGTTCAGTCCTGAGCCAAGCAGCAAGTTTAAATGTTTAGCTCAGCGTTCGAAATACCCGCCTGCCTGACCGATCGGGACGGGTTATTTTCAACAGGAACTGCCAGATTCTCAAATTCACCTGCCCGACGGTCGGGTTAAAATTTAGACATGTATATGAAGACATTCATCATATTTCAGGGTAATAAATCATTATTAATTCACTCGTAAAAACAAATGATGCATTCCAATTGGATGATAAACTACGTTGTTTGTCAAACCTAAATTATTGGCAGGCGGGTAAGTTTTGGTCAGGGCTGGCAAGTTTTACATCTAACCAGCCCAATGGTTTGGCTGAAATTCTTGGGAGTTTCATACCCTGTTTATCTGCTCAATTCAGTTCAGCAGAGGCATTTTGATGTGTTAATTTCAGCCTCAGAAGAAAGAAACATGCTGTGGCTTAGATTGAGCTGCACAGGTTACTTTCACAACAACAAATGAGTGAGTGAGTTAGTTGGGTTTTACACCCCATTAACCAGTATTCCAGCAATATCACAGTGGGGGACACCAGAAATGGGCTTCACACAATGTACCCATGTGGGGAATCGAAGCTGGGCCCTCCACGTGACGAGCGAACACTTTAACCATTAGGCTACCTCACTGCCCCACAACAATAAATGGATATCAAAACAGAACCATCATTACCAAAGAATGTAGTCAGTTTTAAGCGACTTTTCACATTATTTCAGCTTAATCACAGCTAAATGTGGCAGGAAAGACAAAGTGAAGCAGGTTCCAAATGTTTACTTTGTAAAACACATGATCAGTATTGTGCTGACATACCAAGAATATTAATCTGGATGAACAAGGATTCATCCTCCAAATCAACTTTCTGAACACAATCAGTAGGACTCCAGTACAACCACAGAGTGTGTGAGTGGGTATGGTTTTATACCACCTTTAACGATATTCAGCAATATTGTACCACGGTGGGGAATTGAACCTCGAATTCTGGTGTGATGACCAAACACTTTATCCACTCAGCTACACTACCGCCAGTAGAGCAACAGAAAACAACATCCCATTGACAAAACAAGAAAAGTACAATATCTTGTAAAGATAACTCAAATTTTTATTTACAGATGATACATGATAAATACCACGAGACTACAGAGTGTGATGGTTTATACAATGTAAGAATGATTTCTGTGATTCCGTCCAAAATGAACTGCCCATGTACAGCAGGGAGATTGACATAGCTGTGCTGCCAAGAGGCTTCACATACATATCCCAACATATATATACACACAGAAACTGAAACAACCACCAGTGTGTTTAAATGCTCACATGAAAATTGCAATCAACATCAATGGCTTTGGTCAGTAGGATTCCTTTCATTCATGTAAAACGCCAACATTAATTGATACTTCTACACAAGATGAGACATTGACATGTGTCAGTGGTTGGTTTTGCCCATGTATGTATTGATTTCTTACATGAAACACACATGAACTTATAATGATCAGAAATATGTTAACAAATCTAACCTGCACACAAGTATAGCAGAAACTAAACAATATTTCTTAGCAAACATACGTGGAATTCCAGACTATGTTTTCAGGTATCTACAATAAAGAGTCCAATCTTTACTACTCTGTGTACAAGTGGGGATGATTTAGAAGCTCTACAGTAACCATTTCCACCTCCAAAAAGCCTGGCAAACACTTAGTTTCATCTTTATAGTGTTCGGGAATACATGACAAAACGTTTAAAGCCAGCAAATTGACAATCAGTAATCCCAAATCAATTTGATAAATTCATCATAGTCCGGTTTACTGGTGTAAAATCAGACTGCGACTCTTAAATTATGTATTTGAAAATTAATCATTGAAAAATGAACTCTGAAAAATACTGTGGCACTACACAGGTACCAATGTGTAATATATGTTTCAACATAGAGCTGGTACTTGCATTAACCTGCTATGAACTATAAGGGATTCCCACATAAACATTGAGCCTCTTGTCAGCTGACAAACTGCATTGCTCACATCTGTTTTATATTACAACAAATATACATAGAATATATGCTCGATGAGAATAATAATCTCTTGCTGCCCTAGACTGAATTTCAAAAGATCAAACTGTAACATAATTAACCCCAATCAAAACACAGTGTCTAAAATTATCTAAACCCAAATCATTACATGTTGAATATCTATGTAAATGAAAACACAAATATATCCACCCTTTTCCCACAGAATTGTACAACACTTAGAAAACATAAAAGCAAGTTTTGAATTTCAGAAAATTTAAAAGCAAACTCAACATCATTCTAATTTCTTACTATATGTAACCTGTTAAACTCACATGAAAATATACTTCCTAATATAAAATCATCACAAGCTTACTTAAAATCTTCTGAAATCCAGAAACAGATGGATATTATTGCTTCACCAACCCAAGACACTCGTACATGTCACAACACCTCAACTCTGGCTACCAACACTTTCAGCATACACCAGCAGACACAAACATTCATCACTACAAGATCATACACCTTATCAGCATCTCCTTATCTGGGTTACACATGCTGTTGAGAGTTGTCTCCCTTTCTAACCTGTATTGTCAAGCCTTGTTGGCTTCTCTGGTAAACAGTCTGGTGTCTTCTGTTCCGCTTTGCATGACTGTTAGCACTATACACTGATACAATGATATACCTATGTTCATTTTAGTTTTAACTTTATGGAATTTTTTATGAGCTGGAACGGTACACCTTGAGACATGGGCTGTGGGCTGGTGATGTCGGGCAGATCGTTGCTGGGCAGTCTATTCACATGCTGTAACACAAGGGAGATATTTGTGATGACATATAAGTCTCATGGACAGACATCTCATCAACTAGGAACAAGGGCCTAGTACTTCGTATTGTGAAAATTATATATGGAAATCATTCTCTCCTGTTCTCAGTCCTGCCGTGATATTGCGGGAATATTGCTAAAAAACGCGTAAAACCACTCACACACTCCTGTTCTCAGTTGTCACAATATTTACATGTCATAATATTATTAGTGAGAGTCTTTGGTTCAACACCCTTTGAACAGTAGTTATGTTACATCACATCACAACAGCTTGATAAGACAGAAGTAACACTGGTCGTGATCATTTATGTCACTTTATAACACTGCAGATTGAAAAGTGTTTTTACAATCACTAAGAACCAAAAAAACGTGTCAAAACTAACAAATAGAAACGGAAACATAAATCACATTGCTGTGGCTAACTATGTAGAATAGTAATATATGTTCCAAAGGGAATGAAACCATCCGACCATCAGTAATGTAAGTCAATTCACGCTGTCCAGATGAGGAATCCTTAATTCGCTTACCTTATTTACACTTGCTACTTTGTCTGTGGTAACTTTGTCATCAACCTGCATAGGTGCTTCTTTTCTCTGGAAAAGTAATGGTTATACAAACATAGACATGTAACCCTGGGCATCTAAACCTACATATCATTACTGGGAAGTTCATTCTTTCACATTAACAGCAGTCTCAGAACCATGTCCATAGTTTTCCTTTGCTGTTGCAACAAGTGGGATTACTGGTCAATTGTATCCATGTGGGGAATCGAACCAGGACCTTCAGCATGACAAGAGACCGCGTTAACCACTAGGCTATCCCAACACCCCAATGATTTTATTTAGATATACCAAGTGAAATGAGTTATAACTACAGCATATGAAATCAAAACAAATATTTCTCCAGTTTGTGTGACAGAAACACGGGAGACCATTACATGAGCACTGACCTCATCTTCCTCATTTTTACTTCTCTTCTGTGTGGTCTGTTCGATCGGGGAGGCTGGTCTCTTGGCCCGGCCTTCTCCTCCAGCCTCCAGGTCCTCACCATCAGCTGTGGGGACACCATCCTACAATCAGAGGAACACACTGGTATACTTCACTGGTATACTTGTATAACTGTTTCCCAGTGCTGATTAATTATTGTTCACAAACTTCAAATGAAGGTAATACAACCTGCTGTTTCAGGCTATGTTACATTTTACTTGCTGCTTCTGAATGTCTTTGCACTTCAGAGATTATCCCAGGACCGCTTCCAGTGTGTGAATGTTACTTGGCCTTTTACCTGCTGCTGCTGTTGTACGTTACTTAGCCTTTTACTTCCTGCTGCTGTACGTTACTTAGCCTGTTACCTGCTGCTGCTGCATGTTACTTAGCCTTTTAAATGCTGCTGCTGCTGCTGCATGTTACTTAGCCTTTTACTTCCTGCTGCTGTATGTTACTTAGCCTTTTACCTGCTGCTGCTGTATGTTACTTAGCCTTTTAAATGCTGCTGCTGCTGCTGCATGTTACTTAGCCTTTTACTTCCAGCTGCTGTATGTTACTTAGCCTTTTACTTCCTGCTGCTGTATGTTACTTAGCCTTTTACCTGCTGCTGCTGAGATGTTACTTAGCCTTTTACTTGATGCATGCTGAATGTTACTTAGCCTTTTACTTGCTGCTGCTAAATGTTACTTAGCCTTTTACTTGCTGCTGCTGAATGTTACTTAGCCTTTTACCTGCTGCATGTGTATGTTACTTAGCCTTTTACTTGCTGCTGTGAATGTTACTTAGCCTTTTACCTGCTGCTGCTGTTACTTAGGTTACTTAGCCTTTTTACCTGCTGCTGCTGTATGTTACTTAGCCTTTTACTTGCTGCTTGTGGATGTTACTTAGCCTTTTACCTGCTGCTGCTGTATGTTACTTAGCCTTTTACCTGCTGCTGCTGTATGTTACTTAGCCTTTTACTTGCTGCTGCTAGATGTTACTTAGCCTTTTACCTGCTGCTGCTGAATGTTACTTAGCCTTTTACCTGCTGCTGCTAAATGTTACTTAGCCTTTTACTTGCTGCATGTGTATGTTACTTAGCCTGTTACCTGCTGCTGCTGTATGTTAGGTTACTTAGCCTTTTACTTGCTGCTGCTGCTGAATGCATGTTACTTAGCCTTTACCTGCTGCTGCTGAATGTTACTTAGCCTTTTACTTGCTGCTGCTGAATGTTACTTAGCCTGTTACCTGCTGCTGCTGAATGTTACTTAGCCTTTTACTTGCTGTATGTGAATGTTACTTAGCCTTTTACCTGCTGCTGCTGAATGTTACTTAGCCTTTTACCTGCTGCTGCTGAATGTTACTTAGCCTTTTACTTGCTGCTGCTGAATGTTACTTAGCCTTTTAGCTGCTGCTGCTGTATGTTACTTAGCCTTTTACTTGCTGCTGCTGAATGTTACTTAGCCTTTTACCTGCTGCTGCTGAATGTTACTTAGCCTTTTACCTGCTGCTGCTGAATGTTACTTAGCCTTTTACATGCTGCTGCTGTATGTTACTTAGCCTTTTACTTGCTGCTGGTGAATGTTGTCTTGGTTACTGGTCACTTTTTAATGACGTTCTTTAGATTATTTCACATTGCTTCTGACTGATTATTATTTACTGCTTATGGCTGTAGTATGGCATAACTATAGAGGATACTATACGACCTTCCGTGTAATACCATTTTTAGTGTTAATGATTTGGTATCAAACGAGCGAAAGCAAGTTTGAGACTAAATCTTTCACGAGTTTAATAAAACTGGTATTTCATGGAAGCCAGTTTAGTATTCTGTTTATTACTCTCAAACATAAATTGACAGAAGCTGCCTACTAACAGTGTGATGACTTTCAGCTTTCCGCAAGCACTAGTACCATTGTGACAGAGGTATTAGCATTGTGACGTCAGACGTCTAGCGATATTACACTAGTGTAATATTGACGTAAAAATATTACACTGCAGTATCTTCCACGGGCGAGTAATAAATCAATTTATTAGATGGTTGTCATGATCAACTATGTCACTTCTGTAGCAATAAGCAACATGACTTAAAGAACAGGGAAGCCTGTATGCAATACAATGTATTCATTGCATTTTACTGTGACAGATGGTCCTACCTTCTCCCCATCAACCTTTGGTGTGGCAGGTGTGGTTTCACACAGCATATTCTCCCCCTCAGATTTTTGCGGTGTTAATGATGATGGTGTTTGTGACTCCTGGGATGTGTCATCATCTGTCGTTACAGATGCCTGCTTTAGGAGATCCGTGTCAGACTTGCTGGTGGCTAAACCACCTGCCTTCTCAGAGCTGGACCGTCTAAGGTTGCTTGTGCTGCTACCTCTTGTTGGGTCCTATATGGAGTACAAGGATGAATGTAGAGATACCAAAACAAACATCTATAATCAAACCTTATCACCTCTTTGTTTCTTACTCACTCACACCAATTGGGAAAGCATGTAGCACAAAAACTGTTCCTTACAAAGAAAACAAAAAAATAAAGAGATGGGGACAACACTCCGAAAGCAAAGCTACTTAGCAAAAATGAGTCCCTGCATTTAGCGATATCAGAGATAAATGTGTGTTTTTTTCAAAAATAATACTGAAAGTTAACAGGGAATTGGGGGCGGAAGTGAGGAGGTGGGACTTATGATTTATACAAATATTAAACTGACGCATATCACAAAGTGAATACTGATAAAACAAAACCTGCTGAAAATTCTCATCCTTGGATAACAGAATGGAAATAATATACATTGGCTGAGGTGTGAGGTATTTCTGGCTCACATTGCCCAAGTGAGTGAGTGAGTGTGACTTTAGGTTTACGCCACACTCAGCAATATTCCACCTATATGGCGGCGGTCTGTAAATAATCGAGTCTGGACCAGACAATCCAGTGATGAGCATCAATCTGCACAATTGGGAACCGATGACATGTGTCAACCAACTCAACAAGCCTAACCACCCGATCCCATTAGTCGCCTCTTAAGGCAAGCATGGGTTACTGAAGATCAATATTCTAACCCTGATCTTCACGGGTCACATTGCCAAAGACTGTTCCTTGGAAAAAGTCAGCCAGTATGATCTACACATACCTTTTTATCCTTCCGCGCAATCTTGCCTGCTCTTTCTATTATCTCCTTGGCAACATACTGCTCAAGCTGTTTCCTACAAACCAAATTGAGAACTATAACAGTTGTACAGGCCCTGTGGAGCAGTCATTAAATGGCGCTGTTCTATCTTCTACCGAATCTTTGAGTGAGCATATTTTATGCTCAAGAAAGCAGTATGCAGTTGTGTTAATGTGAATGCACTATGTTATTTAGAAACTGGTCAAATGTAACACATCATATTTGGGATTACACTAAAGTACAGATTCTAGCACTTTTCTTGTATTGAAGCCATGGTGGCTGAGTGGGTTAGATAGTTATAGGAATAAGGTGCCTGACTCCCAACTAGCATGGGATCCTGACGACTAATTCTAGCAATTTCAAAGAGCAGAAATATCAATGTATTACGTAGCCACAACCTTAAGGCTACTCAAAGTTATCAGCCTATGATTAAAATGACATCTGACCTTTTCACATATGTGACCTCAAGCTTCATGTCATCCTTAAACAACTTTAGATGGATGGCTTGCTTGTGAACTGAAAAGAGTAACAGCTCAATTAGTTATGCATCTTTCAGAAAAGCATTAAAATATGTCATGAGGGGAGGTAAAAGATTGCATTCAAGATTATTTCACTTATTATTTCACAAAGCAACTAGGGACTAAGGCTAGTTTTATTGTGTCGGCCCTCTAGTATACCATGGTCAGTTTCACATGGATATAGTTTGTTTGTTGTTTAACAAGCACTTAGCAACATTCCAACTATATGACAGCTATCTCGAAATAATCCAGGGATTGAAATCATGAGTATTGATCTACAATGACATGCATCAGCCAAGTCAGCGAGTCTGACAACCATTCCCCTTAATTGCCTCTTACGACAAGCAGGGTTTGCTGAAGACCAATTCTAAACCGGATCTTGACAGATGTACACTCCTTGTTTCATCTTAAGTTGAGTGTCAGACAGGATCAAAAGTACCTACCATCTTTAACATCTTATTGTCTGACATGGCCTGGGATTATACAACCCTCACTCTTGTCACCAGACATGAATCATAAAACCTGACACTAAGCAGTAAACAAGTTTGGTAAACGTGAACCCACAATCTGAATATTGATGACATCCCATGACATGACTGATTTGTGCCTAGACACCCCGACATACTCACCAACATCAGAGAAAGACTGTATATCGAATGTGAGGTCAATATTGGCTGATGGAGTGTTGTTGAATACAAGACCGATGAACCACTTGCACATGAACTTTCCTTCTCTGTAACAGGCACAAGCAATTTCATCATCTTTCAATCAAGAACAATAGTCTGGCTGGTACTTACACTGAGGGGGAGACAACTCTATCAAGGAGCAACTGTTAGAGACATCTGATAGATAATTATCTCCCATGGTTCATCTAAAATCATGTATACATAACATTGTGTTGTCATGAGGATTAAACAATCAAAAACTGAAAGGCAGGGAAACCATTTATGTTGAAATTTCAAGTCAAAACTGATCAGATGTAAATAAGGATAAACTGTATATATTGTCCTGATAAGATTCTTTAGTATTTCGCTGCTACATGTCAAGTAACTCACGTTTCATTGAGTGGACCAAATGACTCTGGCATGATATGAGCAAGCTTGATGAATGGGTTTCTTTCCAGGTTCCCGACAAGCAAACGGATCTTTGACTCCACATAGCCATGCCTGGAAGGAACACATTCAGAAACATATTTGCAAGCCAATAAACATAACTTTTATTTCAAGTATGCAAAGGGCAGGAATATTGACATTTATTTTCAGCTATGTTTATTTATGTAACAATCATTTCAGTCATCATGGCCAAATAAATATTCTGTTTAGTATATATGTAACTACCAGTTATTTCAACTGTGAGATCAAGGCCCTGGCCATCAACTACAATCCACATTTTGTCTGGTGAATCAAGTTTATTACCTAAGAACCCGTGAAGATCCAGATTAGAATTGATGTCCAGTAACCCATGCTTGTCGTAAGACTAACAGACTGGATGGTCAGACTCGCTAACATGGTTGACTCATGTCATCGTATATCCTAATTGCGTTGATCGATGCTCATGCTGTTGATCACTGGATTGAGATTATTTACAGACTGCCAGCTAGAATATTGCTGAGTGTGGCATAAAACTAAACTCTCACTCATTTATTACCTAAGGTAGCACTGGGTGCAAGTTAGTTTCACTTACTTAAATTGAGGCCCTGTGGATATCACAATACAATCTATGGACTGATGGGGAGACTTACCATTCTAGATAGTGTTCCTCTTCCTCTGCCCTTGCAACCAGCACAATGTAGTGTCTGCAACAGAAACATGAAGCATGTCACTTCTCAAACAACCTCATAAGGGTATGACAAATAATGAGACGTCCATCACATAACAAAATGTGGATGACAAAAGAATAACACCTACTTGTATTTCTGGAAGAAGTTTGAGGGAGTGAACAGTTCTGACCAGTCTGCCTTTCCTTCATAGATCTTTGTGACAATTGCCAGACCTGGAACAGGTAAAGTGCATAGAATTACTTCATATACTTCACATGTTGTATGTATACCATCACTTCCTTTTGCAAAAGTTCTATTTTTGAGCCACAGTATCTATGCAACCACATCACACAACAACGAAACGGACATTAAATATTTACTTCTTATCACACAACCATGGATACATGTCACTATAATTTGTTCTTTTCAACCATGTATGTTCAAAAATGTCATTTTCTGACTAAAATTGATATTTTATACTTATCCTGACTCATGCTAAATGCTTGTCTCCTTCTCCTTGCGAATGATAGTGGAACACTTGAAATTCCTTGAAGTTCCTTATAAAAAGCGGACGTAAAATCACTACTCACCCAGGTGTTGCCTCCCTTTTGGTCACCTGACCAACCATGCCTTGTCACTCTCTCCGTATGAATGCCCGATACCCGGATTTACAGGGAAATCCAGAGTGTCATAAGAGGGGAGGTTGGGAGGGCTGACCTCATGAGTCAGGATAAGTATAAAGTATCAATTTTAGTCAGAAAAATTGAAACCATATCCTCGCTGGCCAATAGGGCGAGATCAAAATCAGTTGCAGCGTTGTTGTCGGCTTGTTTTTCTGTATTACTTGTGGTAGTAGTGCTGGAGGTGGAAACGCATAAGTGTTTAGTCCTTCCCATGAGATGCTCAAAGCATCTGTTGCCCATGCCTGAGGATCTGGAATCTGAGAGACGAATGTTGGTAGTTGTTTGTTGAACTTTGTTGCAAACAGGTCTATCAGTGGAGATCCTGCTGTCCGTATGACGAACCGGAACGCTTCTGGGTGTAACATCCACTCGTCAGGGATGGTTGAAGCGGATGAGATAGGGCATCTGCTATGACATTCTTTGCTCCTGGAATGTGGCATGCCTTCATGTAGATGTTCAGGTCGTCGACAATGCTGAACAGGAGAAAGCTGACTTGTTGATCTTGTTGGTCCTTGTTTGTTGATGTAGAACGCTACTGTGAGTGGAGTTGTCCGTGTGGACCATGAGCCTTGCGTTTTTTAGTACGCTGAACCAGTGTTGTAAAGCGTTGATCACTGCTTTCATCTCCAACAGGTTGATGTGCAGACTCTGATCCTGACTCGACCACTTCCCTGCTGCCACTTCGTTGTCGAGGTGGGCACCCTATCCTTGTAGCGATGCATCTACGTAGAGATGAGTGTTGCAAACCGGCTCTGACAAAAAGGTTCCTCCGCAAACATTCGACTTCCAAGTCCACCATAAGAGGTATGGTTTCAGGCTGTCTGGTAGAATAAGCGGATCCAGACGTCGAGATGGGCGTTCACAAATATTTGTAGTGGGCGCAGTTGTAGTCTCCCCCTGCGAGTCATGTCTTGAGCTGAGGTGAGTAGGCCAAGCACGTAGTGTCAACGGAGAGAGCATTGCTTGAGATATCATATGTTGCATCCCAACGATCCTCTGGGACGACTATGCGATTCACTGGCGTGTTGAGTCGTATTCCTAGAAATTGAACATCCTGTTTCGGCTCCAGTTCCGACTTGAGGAGATTTACCAGCCATCCTAACTGAGTGAGAATCCAGTCTAGTTGCAGTCTGAGTTGACTGGGATCTTGATGAGCTTGAATTCTGTTGTCCAGGTAAAATGCACTGCGTAGACCTCAACGATGTAGATATGTGACGATGGGCTTGGTCACTCGAGTAAACAACCAGGGGGCCGACGATATTCCAAACGGTAGAACCTTCCACTGGAAGTGATATCCGTTGAAAAGGAATCTTAGGTATTTCCTTCAGTCTGGATGTATCGGGATGTGTAGGTACGCATCTTGAAGATCTATGCTGGAGAGCTAGTCTGATGGACGAACAAGATGTCGGAGCTGAGGACGATGTATCATCTTGACTTTTGCTGGTCTGTGAAGGTACTCCTGGTTGAACTTTCTCATGTTGTAGATGAGCCGAAACTTCTCCTTGGAATTCTTCTTCGGTACCAGGAAAATTGGGGAGTAACAACCGGGCATGATAAGATCTTGATTTATCTCTTCTACTGCATCTTTGTCGATTGCGTCGTCCAGTTTCTCTGTCTGGTCAGCTGCGTATCTGAGGGCCATCAGGTTGCTTGTAAGCGGCTGGGTGGCTTCCAACTGTATCTTGTACCCTCTGCGTAGTATCTGAGATACGTAGTCGTCCTGTACTATTCCCCAATTCGACCCACTGTTGAAGGTTGTACGGGAACGGCTGGGGGTGGAAGACTCTAGTCGTTCCAAACCTGTCCTTCAGCGCTTGGTTCCCCTGGGTGCTCGGCCTCTTCCGGGGTTACTTCTGGGGACACCAGTTTGGCGACGAAAAGAACCTCTTCCTCCTCTTGAGCTGGAATACTTCTTTTCTCTGGCTCTCTGGACTCCTGCAAACTTGGATTTGTTGGAGTAGCGCTGGGGTGTCGGGCGAATCACATTAGCCAAGGTATCTATGGACTTTATCATCATCACCTCCCTTGATTCGTGTGTAACCTCTTTGGCGACTTCTTCAATCCCTCCTCCGAAAATGGATGATGCTGACCATTGGGCTCTGTATAAGGACTTGGTGAACCGCTCACTCCAGGTGCACGATGACAATAATCCTTGTCTCCTAGGTAGAGTCAGGCCTGCTGATGTGGATGCTAGATAATCCGACATAAATTGGATTATCTGGGTCAGTAGTGCAGAATATATCATCCGGTCCACTTCGTCGGTGGAGTTCTTGAACTTCGAGATGAGTGTTTCGTTGATAGTCCTAGATCTGGCGAAGAAGGTACTTCTAGTAGTCGTATCCAGTTGTGCTAACTTTTTGTCGTCTATCTTGTAATTCCTATAGCGGGAGTCTCTGGTGCCTTCAGGAAGGGTTCCATGTGATGTAAGGGGAATCTCCTGGCGTTGAACATCGGGATATGCTGGTTCTGGAACTTGGTAATCTAATCAAAGGCTGAGCTGAGGCTGTCCGGTACTTGGGAGATCGGGTCGATAGGTGGAAAGGTGAGTGGGTCGAAATCATCTTATATGTAAACACTTCGTCTGTGTCCTTGGAAGGTGATGCTAGGTCTCAGGCCATTAGCAATCCATGAGGTTACTTCCGAATATGACTTCACCTTCTTCCTCTGATTAAGACATCTCCTGTTCTGACGATCCACGACGACGCGAGTCTCTCTGTGAAGATCTGTATGACGAACTGCGCGCAGATGAACGATCCCGATGTGATCGTGTATCCTTCCTGGAGTCTTGAGATGATTCTCTAGGCCTTCGTGAAGGTTGATTCTTAGATGTAGTCTCTCCTCTGTAAGATGTGGAGTGCCTGCGCGCAGGTTCCCGATGTGTGTCTGAGTCTGATGGTGATGACGACCCCTATCCACGACATCTGTAGGGTTTGGGAGAATGCTTCGATCGGCTGAGCTGGCGTTGGTAGTGCTGTCCAGGCTCCTAACTTCAGATGGGGAAGATCGTCGGGTGCGTGAGCCTTCACGCAGGCTTCCCTCTTCTTCCAAGTGCGTTGAAGAGACTGCTGAATCTTCACGCAGGCTAGTAGTCATCGTAGTGGTCTTTGTAGCAGCTTTCTCCTGCGCGAAGCGACGTTCCATCATTGACATCATCTGGTCTGTAAACTGTTGCATAAACAGTCCTGGGTTGAAGTTCTGCGATGTCTGAAGAGTGAGTGAGTTTGGTTTACGCCGCTTTTAGCAATATTCCAGCAATATCACAGCGGGGGACACCAGAAATGAGTTTCACACATTGTACCCATGTGGGGAATCGAACCCGGGTCTTCGGCGTGACGAGCGAACGCTTTAACCATCAGGCTACCCCACCGCCCCTATGTCTGAAGAGACCAGGGATGATGATGCTTCTGACAACGATGAGGCGTCTTCTAAGGTACGCTGCACTTGTGAAGAGTTGACGCTACTGTTGTCTGTGGTACCTGATGTCTGCATTGATAGAAGTCTTCTGTCAATGTCTGCACTGATAAACTTGCCGATATAGATGTAGAAGCAGGCTTCGTCTTCTTGCTGACGACTGTGACTTCAGGTATGAGGATGGGGGGGATCATCATACACGTCTGCTTCTTCCGGAGGAACAATCTTGGCAGAGAAGGATCTCGTCTTCTGCGTAGAGCTGTGTAAAGACTTCGATGAAGTCTGAGGGTTAGTAGCCTTGTTCTGCATTGAAGATCTAGTCTTCTTCGTCTGCAAAGAGGTCAGCTCCGTTGATGATGTCTTATTAGCTCCAGGGTTCATCACTGGCACAGTGACCTGGCCCCGTAAAACGCTCAGCAATTCACTGGAATTATGAACATCGGCAGCAGTAGTTAACACACGGTTATCAGCGCAATCACTCGATTTAGACATGACTTGTGAATACCTTCTTACCCAGTCCTTTGCACGTCTATGAATGGAAAACAGGTAGTTATTAAATTCAAAAGTGGTTAAATCCAGACAATGTTTACAGCGAGTGAGTGAGTGAGAGCTGAAAGAACATTAAGTAGTGCAATCAGGACATAATAAATGTGGGTCAGCCGCAGACAGTCGGTACCTACAACGAACACAAGTTTTCATCAAATGTAAACACGATGAAAAAACATGTCAAACAAGGTATAATTTAGATCAAATTTCAAACCATATGTAGAATCCAATCTAAAAGCCGTATACAGCAATAATTTTGATGTAAGGTCCAAAATAGAAAAGGATATGTGTATAGGGACCCAGGTGCTCTCACAACCGTCCTCAAGGGCGAAGAAGGAGACAGTGACAAGGCATGGTCGGTCAGGTGACCAAAAGGGCGCCAAAGGGGCAAGGGAGGCAACTCCTGGGTGAGTAGTGATTTTACGTCCGCTTTTTAGAAGGGAACTTCAAGGGATTTCAAGTGTTCCACTATCATTCGCAAGGAGAAGGAGACAAGCATAAAGCATGAGTCAGGATAAGGAAAATATTAAGCAATATGAGATCTGCACATATTGGTTTTGTTTGTTTTTCATCTAGTGACCCCTAAATTCGAACTAACCTGTAGAGGTTTCAGATTCTTTTAATATAGTTCTCCTTGGGGTACATATAAGCATTTAAATGTCCATTTAAAATCCCTACGACAGTTGTAACAATATTTGAATAAAATATTTACAAAACAAAAAACTATGTTTTTGTCTTGTGAGACCACCCATACAGGGCCCCACAGACCCCTACAGCCAAGAGCAGGTAACTCTAGACTATAACCTCGTACCTCACTTTCCATGCTGAACGTAATCAGACAGAATGTGGGGAGGTGGGTGGCCGTACCCCAAGGAGTACTATATTCAAAGAATCTGAAACCTCTACCGGTTAGTTTGATTCTTTTTCATATATTCCTCCTTGGGCTACATATAAGCATAAGACAGACTCCTAAAGACTGAGCTAGGGAGCGGTATTCTGTCTGTATAAAAACAACCCCGACAAAAAGAGGAATTCCAGAGCTAAAAATAGCAGAAAAGCTCACTTACCTGGTCACGTGTCCACCACAGCCAATCGGGCGGGGGCATGAGCCAGGGTCAGGGGTCGAACATACTATGTTTATAAAGCTAAACCTCGCTAATGTAAACTGCTCAGATAATCCCCCCTCCCTCCCGTGAGTAGTTGGAAGCAAAGATAAGGGAATTTATCAATAAACCCAACAAATTTTTTGCCGTATAATACAAGCAAAGGTTTCCAAGGCAATAGGACTAGAGCAGTACGGAGGAATGCAAAGTACATGGGATAAAAAACACCACCATAAAACCCGACACAAAGGGAATAGGTAGGAAAGTTTTAGATACCCGACACCAGGTAAAATCGGCAGATAAATGGTCCATGTCTTAAAAACCTCGAAAGCTCAATGGCTAGAGAGGTGGAACCCTGCCCACTGGAGAGAACTGACTGACTGAACCGAGCACGCTCGCTAGAGTGCCTGTCAAGTTGATAGTGACGGATGAACGTACTCGGTCGGCTCCATATAGCCGCTGAGCAGATCTCCTCAATGGGCAGGGCTGCAGCGTATGCCTTCGATGGAGCCACTGCCCTAACCGAATGAGCCTTCAATCCTTCAGGTGGGATACGACCTTTGTGAGTATATCCCATACAAATGGCAGAGACAAGCCACCTAGAAATGGTTTGCTTGTTCACCGGAAGACCAGCCTTGCCCCCGCCATAACAGCAAAACAATTGGTTATCCTTACGGATACCCCTTGTTCGCTTGATATAAGCCTTAAGGGTCTTACAGACATCTAAGACGTGAGCACGTCATAGAGAGGTACCGGGCAGGGGAGGCTGAGTGAAAGCCGGGAGCTCAATAGGCGCTGTTACATGAAAGGCACTATCTCTCTTAGGATGGTAAGTATCAGGCAACCGAATGCTAACTCTGTCTTTATGGAAAACAGTTAGCACGGGGTCGGCTGACATTGCATGAATATCGCCTACCCACCTGCCCGAAGTTACCGCCACAAGAAAAGCTGCCTTCCACGTCAACACCTGGAGGGAAAGAGCCGACAGATTGTGAAATAGAGGACCGGACAGCCAATCAAGAACGATTGGCAAGTCCCACGGGGGACTAATCCGCCGGATAGTCGGACGGATTCTGTCCATGCCTGCTAAAAAGCGCTGAACAAGAGGGTGCTGCCCCAAGAGTGCACCGTCAACAGGAATATGGAATGCCAAAATAGCCGTTGAATATCCTAGACCTAGAACAGTTGAAGCCGCTAGACCGGCTTCCAACCGAGACTGGAAGAATTCTAACACAGAGACTAAATCTGCAGAAAAGGGATCAAGAACCCCCTGTTGACACACAAGCACGCATAACAGGCCCATCTATCCTCATACTGAACGTTTGTCGAATCCCTCAGCGAAACCAGAATTGTGTCTGCAACTGGTGCAGGAATTCATCTCGCTTGATGGCGATTTCAGACAGCGGCCAAGCCACCCACTGAATCCTGGGATTCGGTGGTGCGCTCCGTTCTGGGATAGGAGGTCTGGTCGAAAAGGTAATAGTACAGGAGGCAGGAGCCAGAAACCTGAGGATTACCGGAAACCAACTTTGAGCCGACCAAAGGGGTGCAAGGAGCACAAGTAGTCTGGTTGAGACTAGCTGGTTGAGCTGGTTGAGCGGCTAGCTGAGACAGGACCTTGGGAATCAGCAGTATCGGTGGGAACGCCCACAGTACCCTGCCCGTCCAATCTAGCTGAAAGGCGTCGTTGGCTACCGCTCTCGGATCCGGAATCCGAGAACAAAACACAGGAATCTGATTCGTCACCCCAGACGCAAACAGATCCACCTGGAACCGACCCGAACAACTGGAGATAGAGATAGGGGTAGAGACAGAGGCAGTAGAGGCCTCCTTGACGATTTTAGCTTTTTTAGGAGCTGACTCTGTAGAGGAGGCGGCTCCAGAAGACCCCTTCTTTTTGTGCAACGCTTGGACAGGGGATAATAACTAATGCTAATGTAACTAACACACACATGTGAAAGATAAAGGAAGCATTAAGCTGAAAACCAGCAAATAATAATAGGCTGGACCAGCCGCAACATACGGCTTATAGTGTATATAGAAAAAGCTAGCAGCTGAAAAACGCCCTAACGTGCTAAACGTAAAAACACGAAAATACAATTGACACACTATAACCACACTTAACAATGAAAAAACCCTAAGGGAATACAATGAAAAAGTGAGCATAGCGAAGGTACCCATCCGCCATCTTGACAAGCACATGGCAAGCCAACAGGGATGGGTACAATGTTTAACAAATGATGAATGAAAAATTTCAGAAACAATCTCTAAATCGCCCACGCAGGGAAAAAAGAGATCCACACATACAGTAGCTGTTTCAGAACCACTCATCTTAGCAGGGAATTTTCAAAAATCAACTCTCTTGTCAATATGGACACACATCTAGTCGGTCAAACGACAGCATGGAAGTGAGGTACAAGGTTATAGTCTAGAGTTACCTGCTCTTGGCTGTAGGGGTCCGTGGGGCCGATAGGGTGGTCTCACAAGACAAAAACATAGCTTTTTGTTTTGTAAATATTTTATTCAATATTGTTACAGCTGTCGTAGGGATTTTAAATGGACACTTTAATGCTTATATGTAACCCCAAAGAGGAATATATGAAAAAGAACTTAACTTTCAATATGGTTCTGAACCCTTTCAGTAAATTGGCTTATGATAACAATACTTCTTAATGGTGTGTCATTCCCGAGGATATCTTGATTGACCAGTATATTTTAGGCATTTTCATTTTTACCTACCCTCATGGAACTCATCATTCATGATGGCTCGTGTGGAGTTGGTCACATTGTAGGTGGAATTCTGCTGGGGATAGGCTGGGGTGATGATGGGAAACAGATGAAACCGGTCAGAGGGGTTCACCTGCACAACGACAACATGTGTCAAGTCATTTCTTTTTCACATTACCAGCTCTCTTTATTTGTTGTTTGATAACTCAGTCAGCACTATTCCAGCTATATCATATACATGTATATGAAGTGTTTTATGCTGCTTTTAGCATTATTTCAGCAATATCAAGGTGGTGGACACCAGAAATGGGCGTCACACTTTGTACCCAAGTTGGGCATAAAACTCGGGTGATCAGTGACGAGCAAACACTTTAACCCCTAGGCTACTCCACCACCCCTGTACTACATGACAGGGACCAGTAAATAATCGTGCCTGGGCTAGACAAGCCAGAGACTGATTGCATATTGCAAGCAACACTCAAACAGTGAGAGAGAGAGTTTGGCTTAATACTTTAAGCTATATTCTAGCAATATCAAAGCACACCAGCCCCACTCTCAAATAACTAACTTAATTCATTTCTTGATAACTGTAAACTCAAAGTCATTTCTAAAATATATAATCTGACTAATTCTCGGTCTTACATCAAACCTATTCCTCATGCCTGGTTCACATTTGGCCTGGGATGGGTCTACAGTGCCTGTAAACTGCCCGTAACTCCATTTCTGTGCGGTCGTCATGCGACGGCAGGCGGTGGCCATACAATCAGCGCATGGTTCTACGGGTGCCGAAGCCTCTACAATTTTGTCAAACACCAAAGTTTGACGTAAGACTGTAGTTCATAGGTGGCAACGCGCAGGCAATGTACGGAGGTAAAGCACAACCTTTTAGATCCCAAAATTCGTATAGCGATCGTGGAATATCGCCACGGCCATTGCACTATCGGTAGCACAATTACTGAACAGCCTCTGTGCAGTGCCCGCCATCCCACGGGAGCTGCATGATGTCTGTGCGGCAGCCTTGCGATGAACCAACCATTTTTACCATGGGTATATACATTAGCAATGTTCTAGACAACAAGACGGTTAACCGATCTCCGTTCAACCTCCACACAGGCTCTGTACGATATCCATGCAGTAGCTGTGGAGACCACATGGAAACCTGCACAATCGCCTACGATTTCTGTGCAGCCTCCATGCAGTTTTACCTCGGCTTGTCCACAAGGAAATCTCACGACACCCATAGACAATATGAACACAAACGTCGTAGCCCGCAGTCACCCATGATGCCTACAAAATCGTAGACTATATCGTACGGCATCTGTGGCAAATGTGATCGAGGTCTCAGTCACATGCAATCATTCTTCTGCATTTTTAAATGGCTCAGTTCACCAAATTACAAACTATGGCTAACATACTCGAGGATCCCAAATTGGAAAGCCCAGTTTGTTTTCAGTATCAAGAGGCTTCAGAAGTACAGGATTTGGCCAGTCCCTGGAAAAGTAAGACAGACATTTAATTACACAGATGATGACACAAATCCTTACTTCATTTGTAAACGATAAATGGACACAGGGATAATTAAAGCTATGTTAAAATGACAGTACACAAAATGGACAAAAGTCATTTTGGATTACTCCAACAGCGTTTTGCCAAGAAACTGGTCAAATGGGGACTGGGGTCATTTTCAAAATTTATGGGGCATTACGGAATTTGAATAAATATCCAAACCGAACATGCAGTTTGTTCATGCAGAATTACGATTCACACGGAAGATTAGCCATATAGAGTATGTTTCGCATGGAATCTTTCTCAGATATATAGTATTGCAGCAGCAGCAACATCATCCCATATCTTATATTTTTCAGCCTATGAAAGGCACTTACAGTGAATTTAATTGATGTAGGCAGGGAAAGTCAGTTCATTTATATTCAGCGTATATATGAAAGCGTGTTTTGTCCCACTAAGTGTCAATATTAAGCACCAATCAAAACATTATTGCAAGAACCCAAGCAACCCAGCAGAACACTGCTAAATTGGACTCACTTTTAAATCACATTCCATGAGTTTTGACTATTGTAAAGTGCAAAGACATCTGTGAATAGAGTTCCTTTTCAACACTACGTTGAGCCTTATAGGATGTAAGATGCAGCTAAAATGTAGTAGAAATAGAATCTAGTGTACCATTAACCCATGAGATGTAGATATTAGCAATGCAGACACATGCACACATACCATTTGGAGAACACAAGGAAAAACTTATGTACAAGAGTAGCGGGTGCTGCCTTGGGATAGAGTTGACACACGCGGGCTACCAGCATGGCCCACGACACTCCGCCCAGGTAACCTAGGACGTTGGAGTAGATACCCTTCTCTGCAATTACAGAACCAACCACCATTTATCATCAAAAGTATTAACTCATGGATAAGATTGAAAAATACACAACAAACATTGGTTTACAATTTATTTCTACATTGTCAGTAATATTGTCAGCACCCGGTGAACATTTTTGTCAGTTTCAGCGAAAAAGGCTCCGTTTTGTCATATCAAAAGAAAATGTTTTATGATACATAACACTGTACTAATCACATAGAAATATCTAAATGTCTAGACCCACACTGAAAAATCATGAGACTACCTAATTTCCTGAAGCAGTTTGAAGCGAGTGAACTGAAAACAAGGATTGTCACTAAGGTGACATAATCCCCCGCCGCAACTTGTCAAATCAAACTTAAAAAGTAATGAAATTGAAGGTCGTAATTTAAGATGAAGTTAAATGTCAACAAAAACATGACCAGTCAACCTCTCTTGATATCTTGCTCTGTAGTTGTTCAAACGCACAAATATTTTCAAGACTCACTTTGACCTTGACATGAATGTCTTAGTGTATGAAATATGCAAAAAATAGTAATAAAGAAATTGCTTATTGAAAAACATTCAAGGGAAGTTTTGAAAGTCTATGAAGAAAATCCAGTGAACTGTTCTTGAGATATCTCGCTGACAATCTTAACATGCAGTTTAACATGCTGAAATTTTAAAAGTGTCGCCATGACCTTGAAAATTATGGGAAGGTCACCAAAATCAACTGGAACTTGCACCTTCCCTATAGTTTGGCATGAAATGCATGTGGACCCGTCTTTTTGTAAATATCTCTTCATCCAATGACCCAATCGATCTCAAACTGTGCAAGTGGATGTTTTGTCAGACAACCTAATCACATTGTAAATCACCGATTTTATGCATTTGTAGTAAAGAATCTGTCTATGTAACTGTCAACAAAACAGACGGCTTGCAGAGGGAGGGAGCCAATGACCTGTAACAGCGGCAGTGTTACACAGCTTGCACAGTTTGAGATCGATTGGGTCATTGGATGAAGAGATATTTACAAAAAAACGGGTCCACGTGCATTTCATGCCAAACAATAGATGAAGCTTGGTGTCAAATATGAAGAAAGTCCAGTGAATGGTTCTTGAGATATCTTGCTGACAATCTTTACATGCAGGTTAACATGCTGAAGTCTTCAAAGTGTCGCTGTGACCTTCAAAATTATGTGAAGGTCACCAAAATCGACTGGAACTTGCACCTTCCCCAGATGAAGCTTGGTGTCAAATATTAAATTAAAGTCCAGTGAATGGTTCTTGAGATATTTCGCTGACAATCTTTACATGCAGGTTAACATGCTGACATCTTTAAAGTGTCGCTGTGACCTTGAAAATTAAGTGAAGGTCACCAAAATTGACTGGGCCCTCCGCCCTCCCTCAATGAGTGAGTTAATATTTAACATCACATCGGCAATATTTCAGCCACATCACGGCAGGGGACACCAGAAATGGGCTTCACACATTGTACCCATGTGGGGATTCGAACCTGGGTCTTCGGCGTGACGAGCCAACGCTTTAACCACTAGGCTACCCCACCACTCCTTGTCGAATATGAAGAAAATCCAGTGAATGGTTCTTGAGGTATCTCGCTGACAAGCTTAAAATGCAGCTTAACATGCTGAAATCTTCAAAGTGTCGCCATGACCTTGAAAATTAGGTGAAGGTCACCAAAATCGACTGGACCCTGCGCCTTCCCTAGATAAAGCTTGGTGTTGAATGAAGAAAATCCAGTGAACGGTTCTTGAGATATCTCGCTGACAAGGGTAAAACGCTAAAATCCCCTTGAGACCTTGAAATGAAGGTCAAGGTCACCAAACCTGACTGGGACCTTTCTTTTACTGTGATAAACCTAGGTACCAAATATGGAAAGAATCCACTCAACGGTTCTTAAGATATTCCAATTCACACGTACGGACGGAGCCTAGTACTATATCCCCCGCTTCGCTCTAAACACGCGGCGGGGGATAACTGACAATTTTTCCTTATCGTGACTCATGATTATTCCTCATGCATCAGGTTAAGTATAAAAATAATAATTTTATCATAAACATTACATATTTCCTGACTAATGATGCAATAAACAGAACTTACTTTTTGCCCAAAGTTTAATTGCACGAAGTGTCATTCTGAAGTTTTCCTTGTTTGACACGAGATACAGGATCTCATCAGTGACTCTGCAACCTGAAGCAAATGAATGATACCATGTTAACAGTGTACAAAATTCTACTGTTCTACACAGGAATAGTAATTCAGACATCAGGGTTCCAGTTCTGATCCATTGCGTATTTGCTTACATGTTATCAATCGTACAGGAATATCATCTGACTTACCATTGAGACTACGAACACTCTTCTCGTCCAGATTCTTTAATAAGTTCTCTTCCCTAAGATCAATGTCCTCTGGAATTGTTGGGAGGGCGAGGCGGGCAAACAGCATGTCCAACTGAAACAGATATAACAAACATAAGCAGAGAAATGAAACAACACACTAAACATCAAGAATTTAATGATTAACTTCTACTGGTATTATGACCATTGGATGAAACAGAAAAATGGTGACTAAAATTTTCCCTTTAGTGCATAATTAGTCATTTCCTGAATATATTCTTGCATGCTGAATGTCCAACATTATGGTATAACATTTATCATGTTGATGCAACACTTACCTCAATCCCATCGAACGTCATTTTGATTACTGGTACAAATGCTTCCTCTACAGCCTGCAAGGAATGTCTTGCTTGTTAGAATGAAGTTTAGATGCATATATCATATATAATGACAAAGGATTGTACAGTGTAATGAGACTGAATGCATTACAATGCTTCTCAACAGGATACATATCACAATAAAACAAAATCAATTTTATCTGAAATATGTTGGTAATAGAATGTTACATTTACAGACTTCGATATTCTGTAACTGGCTGCTGTAGAATGTTTTGTTGTTTGTTTATGAGGCATCACTTGGCAATATTCCAGGAATATAATGGCAGTATGTAAATAACCAAGTCTATACCAGGCAATCCAGAAACAGAAATACTCAACATCAGTCTATGGAACTGGGTCATGATGACATGCATCCACTAAGTCGATGAGTCTCACATCCCTATCTACATAGTTGCGTCTTACAACAAGTGAATAACAAGATAGGAAGTCAGGCTCGCTTGAAGCTATTGGCTGATACAATGAGCAATATCCCATCCAATCATGCTACAATGGCATGCAGGCAATCAAGTCAGCAATCCTGACCAACCAGTTGAGTCACTGTTTAGCAAAGGTTATCAAGGGCCAATCTGTTGCAAACTTGCATCAGTTAATGGACATGCTCATATCAAATTCTTCTTACCCTTAGATCTTTGACCTCAACCTGCTGTTTGACCAGCTCAAAGAACGAGGCAAAGAAGTCTGATCTCTCCACATGTCTGGGGGCCACACACAGTGTGTCTATATCAGCACCTGCACAACAACAACACCATCTCTATCAGTTACACTCAGTTGAATGCATGGTCCATCAAAGCCTGAAAGGCGACCAATTTCTTATTCCAGTGCTTCAGATTTACTTACAGAAACATGTTTTCATTAAAATGTTTAACCACAAACTGACGATTAATTGCCATTTTCATGCCGGAAAGAGGTATGAAAGTAACTACAAGCACAAAATGAATGTATCTACCATTGATCTTTCATTGATAATAACATTTAATCAAGCTTTCTGAATTGATTCAGAATCTGACAATGGTGTCTTAAAAAGTCTCAAACAATAACCATTATAGCAGGGATTTATCTAAACCTTCTCAGAAGCTAGCATCTCGCCTAAAATCTGCTGCAAATGTCAGCAAAATTTCAAATGGGACACAGAAATTTCCTAATTTGTGATAATATCGCTGTATTACATAATAACGTGGACTTGAGGTGAAATGGGAACCGTCATCAACGGTGACACCCTCAAGATCACTGCACTTACTGGTGGTTTTATAGTGTTAGATCAGTGAGATACAACCCTCAGCTTAACACATAATCTGCTCACATAGAATAACAACAAAAATACAAGAATTGCAGTTCATCTATTGTTTTCTACACAAAAGTCAATACAAACAAGTCTTTGGTTGTTGTTATACATGATAAAAGGCTTACCTTTTGTGTGAACCCCTAATCTGTAAGATCCAAATGTAAACACTTTACCGCCAAAAGTGTCAATTTTGTTTTCCGGAATATTATTCTGGAAAAAAAAAAAATATTGGGTTAATCTCAGTTAGTCATTGTCATGATTAATAAATGCAACACTTGAGTAATACTCACAATAACATGTAACTATACTCACAAATAATAATCTTACTGTTAGTGTTACAACATTTAGATAATCAATTAACTTATTGTGCATTAAGACATCAAATAGACATTTAGTATGGATATGTTTCATCCTGTTATCAATCCTCAAACTGATACATATCAGCAAATTTTATTCCATCACATCCTTCAGTCCTAAAAAACCCTCTCTGCATACATCTTCCTGAAGCAAGGGAGTTAACTGACTCACTGTAAACATCCACTTTCCTTCCTTGCCTAACTTGGCTGGAATTTTGTGGTTTGAAAGTTGCTCTACCAGTGGCTATCATGAGTTATGTCCCTCCTAACACGTATAACCAAGACCTCATCAAGTCTGCTAAACTAGAGATCTTACCTTTTGCCTACTGACATCTTTGATCCATTCTCGAACCAAGTTATTGATTTTCAGTAGAACTTCCATGCTGTAAGCATAGTAAGTATGAAGGCTAAGTTGTCATCATAATTCTTTCCAATATACAAACAAAGAGTATTTCCTTCTAAAATGTATTTCAATACACAATTATTCATAGAATTGCAGAAAACATGAAGCTCCTGACTTTCACATCATGGAAATAATTACACACAAAATGGAAGCACTTTCTAATTAGACATACATTTCCTGCTGTTAAACTTATATCAGCGACTAAATGACTGAAAAACTCAAGCAATGCTTAGAATCATGGTAAAAGATCCTGAACATGAAAGAAATATTAGCTGCACAAAAAATAACAAAAAGTATCAAGATGTTTTTCCTACCGATGAGCCAGCTCCTCCTCGCTCTCAAAGACCCCAAAAGGACGAAGAGTTTCCTCCAACTTTGAAGAAAGCTCTAGGTCAAAAGCTTTTGGTTCAGCCAGGCTAATTGGGGAGGTGACCCCAGGGTAGGGATTCTGCCCACTGCTGACCTGGGCCATGCTGAAACACCAGTTGTTCTAATAATACTCATAACAGTTTTGCACAGGTTAGTGGATGAATATAGAATACAGTGAAACATGATGTGTCTGGAGATGCATTAACACTGGTTACTAGTGCACTTAAAACACAAAGCAGGGCTGATGGAGTGGTCTGATTTAGAACAACAGGTTTGTACATATTTTCAGTTTGAAGATCAGAAGTCTGAGAAGCATTGTATGAGAGGAGTGACAGGAAGACACATGTAAACAGGGATGCTCTGCTATGTCCAACATGTACCATACTCAGGCGAGCTGAAACTACAACATGATTCTGCTTCTAGCTGAGGATTTTTTTATTTGTTTGCCATTACCAATGGCACAGTTCTCAATTCTCCTTTTGGCTACGGTAGATTTCTGTATATTGAAACATTCCTTGACTACGCACAAGAATTACCCATTCAAATACACCTTCAGCTGAAGCAGCAGTGCTTGCATCCATAACATGACAAAGTATTGGAAGTTGCACTCATTAGCCAAGCTTGAAGGTGGAAACACTCACTAGAATGCGCTTGATGTCAAAGGTTCATATTTCAACATATGCTTGGATTGTTTAGGAAGCGTTAGATGGAGCCACTGGGTGTGTAAAACGAATCCGACAACTCAGACAATCATCCACGAGCATATTGCGATTGTCTGATTACAGCATGTGGGAAACAAATGGAGAGGAGATGTGGGGGAGCAAATCGTTTCCTCAAATCACGTACAAGTCCACAATATAGCGACTGTTCAGCAATCCACATATAAAACAAGGCAACAATTTTCCAAGAATGAAAATAGGAACTTCTAGGAAACCTAACTGATACTCTATTCAAATTAGATGTGTGTTCTTTGACTTCATTTATTCCATTGATTACCTGATAGCCCTCCTTTACCAAGGTATCAACTGCCCATTCGTAGAGTAAACACTTGGTGAAAGTGATTTTGTGTATTAATGTCTATTTAGCAATGTGACTAACAAATATGGCGGTATCTTTATTTCCCATATTGCACCACGGTTTCCGCAAGTTGAAATCGCTTACACCATTTCTAAAAAGAATGCTGCGTAAAAACACTCCTATTATTAGACTGAAGATATTAAATAAGTATAAGTATTATGTTTTCAATACATATTCGCTCAATATTATGCTTTGTAAATTTTTACGAGATTGTCGTGGATTCCGTTTGTTGGTGTAAGCGACTAGGTTAAAGGTTGCCGAGGTTATATTTATTTCGTACACACAACAATGCTCAGTCAACTGCTCCACAATGGTTATCGACCTATTTGGAAACATTGTCGACTGGGGAGGCATCTTTTTGCAAGTTGCTTTCTCTAAACTAAAGACTACTTTTATTCGTTTGTTCATTCTAGTTGGTGTTTTAATCACTATACTATGGTTGTCAATATTCTTTTATGCCAGTTTTTACTGGTTTTACATGCCAAGTGCTTCCCACATCAGGCCTGTTTATTTCAAATTCGAGTAAGTACTTCGTGTTTAAAAGTTTGTGTATATATTTGTATTGCCACATCTTATAATCATTATTTGATGTCATTTTTGAGTTTGTTTTTTTTCGTATTTCTTATCATATGTTTTTATGATTTGTTTATGTTTTGGTTTGGCATTCATTCAACTGTCTGTGGATTCAAGGTAAGAAAACAGGTCATGTGAAACCTTAACAATAGAAAAATCATAGTGTTTATGCCAAATGACCAGCAATGATCAATCATGTTGCGAGATGATAGCTATTTTGCTTATTGTGTCATAAACAAACAGGCCAAATGACGGACCATTATCCATGTTGTCGCCACATAACATCATAGCTAATTTGCATATGATTTAGCACAACAAACATGGCATCTGACAGTTTCAGTGTTGCTCTGTCAGCATGTGTCATTGACAGAGTGCCTCACAAGTCAACTGACCATATATGGGTCAAAATTCATTTGATGATATGCATTGCTTAAGTTCAAAAGAAAACAATGATTTTGATGAGGAAACATCAACGGATGTGAGGGTGCAGAGCAATGCTCAGGCAGTTGCCAGCCACTTGTACCATCCTTGCCAGAGCTCACTCACCATTTGCACTGTAACAAGAACAATATTTCTTAGCTGTAACTGCCTCAGGGACTGAAAAAAGGATGTGAATCAAGTGTGCTTTCTCATTACTTTTAACAGGGGCGGTGGGGTAGCCTAGTGGTTAATGCTTTCGCTCCTCACGCCGAAGGCCCGTGTTCGATTCCCCTCATGGGTACAATTTGTGAAGCCCTTTTCTGGTTTCCCCCGCCGTGTTATTGCAAGAATATTGCTAAAAACGGCATAAAACCATACTCAGTCAGTCATTCAGTCATTATTTTAACATTGAAATTGTGACATTGTCATTTGTGAAGTTTGGATCCAGTCAGATCCAGGAAGTCTTAATCAGTAAAACATACTGCCTGGACAGTCAAATGACAAGTTAAACATACAAAACAAGAATGTTTTCCTATTCTATCATATTTAGATCACGGAACAATCAAATAAAAATGTTCTTAAGCATTCTTCCATAATACATGCAACATCAAGGCCCAGCAGGGCATGTCACAGTTGACATCTTTGCCTTGTCACCTTGCTGGCGGTGTTAACTTCTTTGGTCATGTGGACATGGCATCTGATCTCGACCAGAAGGCCCATGGTTCGAATCCCAGCATGTATTTAATTGGAGCAAAATATGTCTCAGTATCCTACTATGCAGCCCTGACATGCAAAGTCTGTAACAGGGCATGAAGTCATTCCACAGATGACAGCCTTACTTTGTCAGTTTGTTGACAGAGTTACCCTCTTCACTACTGCGGAATTATTTTCATTATGAGTATGTATAATCATATTGGTTTGAATCTGGGTTTTCTCTGAATGTTTTCCTGAGATTTTGGGGTCATCATACCCATACACAGGTTCAAACCTATTGAGTTTTAAAGCTGATATCTTGTGATATAGCTGAAATATACTTAAAGTCATCATTTAACTGAAGTCATTCACTGACATCATTATTTACTGTGTAGTATACTATAGCAATAAGGTTCAGACTGAACAAAGAATCTGATTTGTGAAGCAGCTTTCGAATCTTCACATCTACTGGCTGATATTTACTTGATGTGAAGAGATGTAATGTTTTAAGATATGCAGTTACAACAACAAGAACAACTGCTTATATTTCAGTGTACATGAGCTGGTAACAAAGCACATGACTTTATGGATAACAACTTCAAGTTTATTGCATAAAGTGATGTTTTTATGTAGATTCTTACACCTTTATCAAACTAAACGTTGTAATCTTCTAGAATGCCGATCAAACAATCAATTGCATGATTTGGATTTTAGAAAGATTTTCTTACATTTGACACAACAGAAAGCAGATCTTGATCTGACGTGAAATGTCATTTGTGATCATGATGATACTTTTGCCAGTGGGATGTTTTGGTCATTCGGTCATTTTTTTTCTGTGCCACAAAAACACGTGACATTAAGCCAACCAACAACTAGTTGTTGTCTGGACAGATGTGTGTTTGACCTCAGCGTGACTCAATGCTCATGCTATCAGCCACAGGTTTGAGAGATCCATGTGTGATTCTGCTTTGTTGGATATCTGCGTTCACTGTGACCTTCCTTTGCTATGACATTAAACACCACATGACATGGAACTTCAGATGCATGAGACCGCCTCCGTGGTGTAGTGGTTAGAGCGTCCGCCCGGAGAGCGGAAGGTCGCGGGTTCGATCCCCGACCTCGTCATACCAAAAGACGTTAAAATATGGTACTTGTTGGTCCCTGCCTGGCGCTCGGCATTAATGGGTACAAGAAGGACTGGTCGGCTCGGAGTCAGTATAATGTGTCTGAGTGGGATATTCATGCTTCACTGCAGCATGGTATCTCTGTGGGCTAGCAATATAAAACCAGCTTCAGTCTGGGCTAGTACAAGCAGCCGCACTTACACATACACACGCATGCATGTCGTCATATGAGCGAAATATTCTCAAGCACGACGTTAAACCCAATTTCACCTCACCTCAGATGCATGATTTGTCATGTTAAGACTTTACAGGCAACTTAAAACCAAATAGTATTCCATTTGTTGTGGATTCACTGTAGAGATGCAGTTGATGGATGCCATTATTTTGTGCTGCAGCGTGTGTCCGGAGGGAGCTGGGATATGCACATTCCCACAAGCTAACCTGACATTTGGGGAACATGGACGAGAGGAAGTAAGTTACATCAGTCTATTTTTACCTCAGAACTGTTTGCTATTCTTATCATCAGATATATCATGATCGTAGCCCAGTGGTGATTGGCTTGTCGCCATCCCACCGTGCTACTTGCAAATGGTGAAACAGGGTCTGCTGGTTCGTTCTTCTAACCCGATTTATTGGGTTTAGTTCCATAGATGGTGACATTTTTACACATGGATTACTAACTAAACATGATCAACAGATTGCATTATGTCTTAAGGACAAGTTTTGGTAAATTAGAACAATATTCCATCACAATAGTTTATGTAAGATATTATTTATGAGACAATTTTCATATTGACAATGATGAATAATTCTTCCCATCGACAATATTTCTGATTAACAATCCTTTAGGCAGTTCTAGTGTCCAGTGCATTATGTGTCCATTCTAATATTGTAAACACCATGACCCATTCACCATCGTAACTTTGTTTTGGAAGATCCAGGTTAGAATTGATCTTCAGCAGCTAATGCTTGTCATAAGAGGTGACTAAATGAGATTGGGTGGTCAGGCTCGCTGACTTAGCTGACACATGTCATTGTATCCCAATTGTGTAGATCTTGCTCATGCTGTTGATCACTGGATTGTCTGGTCCAGACTTGATTATATCTTAACTGCAGTCTTATAGCTGGAATATTGGTGAGTGCCGAGTTAAACAACAAACAAACAAACCAACTTTGTGTTGTCTGCATCTCTCTTACCGCTAAAATAGCAAAGTGATAAGAATTCAAGTTACAGATTTTCATTCAAGATATGCAGGCTCATATAAACAAGCTCTCAGTGTTATTATTTCTAATCAGAAGAGGGGCAGTGGGGTAGCCTAGTGGCTAAAGCGTTGGCTCGTCACAATGAAGACCCGGGTTCGAATCCCCACATGGGTACATTGTGTGAAGCCCATTTCTGGTGTCCCTCGCCGTGATGTTGCTGGAATATTGCTAAAAGCGGCATAAAACCAAACTCAGTCAGTCAGTCTAATCAGAAGACTGTGTTAATGAACTATTAGCTTGCCAAAGGTTTACTGAGTATCAAACAAAGAAGGATGAACTTATATGACAAGACAATAGCGACTATTTTTTAAGATACCGGTACGTTTCAACAAGATGTATCACATTTGGTTGATATTGCCTATTGTGTGAGTTTTGAAAACATAGTTTAACTGTATTAGATGGTTACTCTTAGCTTTGTCTCATTCAGACCAAAACATAACTATGATAGCAAATGAGTACAGGATATATATACCATGAGAGAAAAGGATGATCCAGTCACACAGAATTATACATTGAGACCATTGTATTACCTATAAATACTTACAATAGTTGTTGTGCTTATATCTTAGTGTGCAAGTGGTTTCAGAATAACATGAGACCAGAACAACAGATACTAATCATGATTTACTACTGGTCTCTCCCAGATCCTCCACAAGGGCCAAGCATACAGGATATACCTGGAGCTTGAGATGCCAGAGTCCCCTACCAACCGAGGTACAGGTAAACCTCGTCTTCCTTGTCAGCATGTCATCATCCTTGTGTGTACTGAGCCACCAGACAAGTAGTTCTCCAGTAGCACTATTATCCTGCTGCCAATCTCTTGTTGTATGTCATTGTTGGTTAAACTCACTGTCCTCAGGTATGTCATTGTTGGTTAAACTAACTGTCCTTAGGTATGTCATTGTTGGTTAAACTCACTGTCCTCAGGTATGTCATTGTTGGTTAAACTAACTGTCCTTAGGTATGTCATTGTTGGTTAAACTAACTGTCCTTAGGTATGTCATTGTTGGTTAAACTAACTGTCCTGAGGTATGTCATTGTTGGTTAAACTAACTGTCCTGAGGTATGTCATTGTTGGTTAAACTAACTGTCCTGAGGTATGTCATTGTTGGTTAAACTAACTCTCCTGAGGTATGTCATTGTTGGTTAAACTAACTCTCCTGATTGTTGGTTATGTCATTGTTGGTTAAACTAACTCTCCTCAGGTATGTCATTGTTGGTTAAACTAACTCTCCTGAGGTATGTCATTGTTGGTTAAACTAACTGTCCTCAGGTATGTCATTGTTGGTTAAACTCACTGTCCTCAGGTATGTCATTGTTGGTTAAACTAACTGTCCTGAGGTATGTCATTGTTGGTTAAACTAACTCTCCTGAGGTATGTCATTGTTGGTTAAACTAACTGTCCTGAGGTATGTCATTGTTGGTTAAACTAACTCTCCTGAGGTATGTCATTGTTGGTTAAACTAACTCTCCTGAGGTATGTCATTGTTGGTTAAACTAACTGTCCTCAGTATGTATGTTCTCATTGTCATTGTTGGTTAAACTAACTCTCCTGAGGTATGTCATTGTTGGTTAAACTAACTCTCCTGAGGTATGTTCATTGTTGGTTAAACTAACTCTCCTGAGGGAGGTATGTCATTGTTGGTTAAACTAACTCTCCTGAGGTATGTCATTGTTGGTTAAACTAACTGTCCTCAGGTATGTCATTGTTGGTTAAACTAACTCTCCTGAGGTATGTCATTGTTGGTTAAACTAACTGTCCTGAGGTATGTCATTGTTGGTTAAACTAACTCTCCTGAGGTATGTCATTGTTGGTTAAACTAACTGTCCTGAGGTATGTCATTGTTGGTTAAACTAACTCTCCTGAGGTATGTCATTGTTGGTTAAACTAAACTAACTCCTGAGGTATGTCATTGTTGGTTAAACTTACTGTCCTGAGGTATGTCATTGTTGGTTAAACTCACTGTCGTGGGGTATGTCATTGTTGGTTAAACTAACTCTCTTCTTGTATGTCATTGTTGGTTAAACTAACTCTCTTGAGGTATGTCATTGTTGGTTAAACTAACTCTCCTGAGGTATGTCATTGTTGGTTAAACTAACTGTCCTCAGGTATGTCATTGTTGGTTAAACTAACTCTCCTGAGGTATGTCATTGTTGGTTAAACTAACTGTCCTGAGGTATGTCATTGTTGGTTAAACTAACTCTCCTGAGGTATGTCATTGTTGGTTAAACTAACTCTCCTGAGATATGTCATTGTTGGTTAAACTAACTGTCCTCAGGTATGTCATTGTTGGTTAAACTAACTCCTCAGGTATGTCATTGTTGGTTAAACTAACTGTCCTCAGGTATGGCATTGTTGGTTAAACTAACTGTCCTGAGGTATGGCATTGTTGGTTAAACTAACTCTCCTGAGGTATGTCATTGTTGGTTAAACTAACTGTCCTGAGGTATGTCATTGTTGGTTAAACTAACTCTCCTGAGGTATGTCATTGTTGGTTAAACTCACTGTCCTCAGGTATGTCATTGTTGGTTAAACTCACTGTCCTGAGGTATGTCATTGTTGGTTAAACTCACTGTCCTGAGGTATGTCATTGTTGGTTAAACTAACTGTCCTCAGGTATGTCATTGTTGGTTAAACTAACTGTCCTCAGGTATGTCATTGTTGGTTAAACTCACTGTCCTGAGGTATGTCATTGTTGGTTAAACTCACTGTCCTCAGGTATGTCATTGTTGGTTAAACTCACTGTCCTCAGGTATGTCATTGTTGGTTAAACTCACTGTTCTCAGGTATGTCATTGTTGGTTAAACTCCTCGTCCCCGGCATGTCATGGTTTCTATACCTCACTGTTTACAGGTATGTTCATGGTGCGGCTACAAATGTATGATAAGAAGGGGACAGTAATACAGCAGTCCGACAGATCCGTGAGTTGATGTGCATGTTACAAGTCCAGTCTGTTACTGATCCAGCCATAAGACAGTAATCAGTAGATATTCAAACAAATGTTTAAGTACGTATTATTTTGAACAACCTGTTCAAAGCATCTGTGTACATTAACTGTTGAGATCTGGTGCTTAGGAAACATAAATGTTTTGTAGGACTAGACATTTGGCCATATATCATCAGGTAAAACAGGGAACACATGTAGGAAATAATTCCCCTTTAGGGATAATCGGGAGAAGAAATTCATTTTAAGGCAGGGATTTATCTCAATCTTGTTAGAAGCCAATATTCAGCCCAAAATCTGCTGCAAATGACATTACCAAATTTGAATTCAAAATTTCCCATTTTAGTTAATATTTGACCAATGTAACAAATAACCTAATTCATGGCTTGGTAAAGATAATCTGTATTCCACAGATAACAGAACCAATAAATAACAAGAAGTTTCGATTATTAGTTTTACACTATTGATTTTGAATACAATTTCAAATACAATATTGACATAACTATGCATTTAGTACAAACTTTATAAACATCCAAAATGTGAACAATATAAATTTGCCTGACATGCTTAGTTAGAAGTATAGAAGCCTCAATAATGTTTCCTGTGGGTGTTAAATACTAAGACAGGTGGGGCTGAAAATCTAAATATTAATCAATTATGGCTAATGTCTATTAAGCTATAGTCCGTTTGGCTCAAAAGCGGACCGATTGAATTGCAATCTAACTCGAAAACTAATAAACATAAAATACTCAATGAACGCTGATCATAATCAAAACATCATACCCACTCTGTGAGGTTTTGCAGAATTTTGTCCTCAAACTAAAAAAGTTGTTTAACAATCTATCATTAAAATATTGACACAGTTCACTATTTGTTACGAGGGAGGAGTGCAGAGAAAGGGACAGCCAGGTGTTCGAGAGCGGATGGAGACGGCACAGCACAGGTTAATGAATAAATAACTTTGTATGTGAACGTGCTTCTCGAACATCTGGCTGTCCCTTTCTCTGCACTCCTCCCTCGTAACAAACACTGAACTGTGTCAATATTTTAATGATAGATTGTTTAACAACGTTATTATTTTTAGGACAAAAATTCTGCAAAAACCTCACATAGTGGGTATGATGTTTTGATTATGATCAGCGTTTCATTGAGTATGTTATGTTTATTAGTTTTTGTGTTAGATTGCAATTCATCGGTCCGCTTTTGAGCCAAACGGACTGTATATATAGACGTTCCCAACAGTATTTGTCTGAAAGATGGGGATTCCTGATTAACAAGGTCTGTACTATAGAGGTTTAACTGTTTTGGCTCCATTCTAACCAGGCTATCATGCACTACCGGTCAGTGCTGCTCAGGACGATGTACACATTGGTTTTTGCCCCATTCTTCCTGGCTGGACTTGATGAACAGAAGCAGGTGGTTGACATTGAATTGTTCAACCATTACGTTGATGATCTGGTCGATTCTGCTGTTGGTGCTGTCATTCAGATACAGACCAAGAAGATAGAGATATACTCCTCCAAGATTAAGATCTTTGCAGACTTTACTGGTCTCAGGTAAAACAATTTGACTTTTAATCATGAAAAGTCTTTTAATGGCATTAAGAAGTGGTACACATAAAAGGGAGAAAATTATGTGATATGAGCAGCAGCTGATGTTTCTGAGTATATTGGGGTGGTGGGGTAGCCTAATGGTTAAAGCGTTGGCTCGTCACGCCGAAGACCCGGGTTCAAATCCCCACATGGGTACAATGTGTGAAGCCCATTTCTGGTGTCCCCCGCCGTGATGTTGCTGGAATATTGCTAAAAGCCGCGTAAAACCAAACTCAGTCAGTCAGTCAGTCTGAGTATATTCTCATTCCTTCACCGGGTAAATGAAAACTAGGAAACAGATAGGTTTATATACTTCCCATCAAAAGTTTAGACTCACTTAAAACACTTGCTATATGTTATGTATGTATATATGGTTACAACAAAGATTGATTTCTCCACTAACTTGGGGGAACAAATTGCAAACCTTATGCAGATGAATTGCACGAGGATCATGCGTCAAATTGCTGAAAAGCATGTCCAAATATCATACATGAGAACAGCTGCGTTTTGGTGTAAAGTTTTCTTAAGAATTCGCCATTTTCACTGATTTTTATCATTTATTGAACTCATGACAATAATCTTTTCAACGTCACAAATTTGTTTACAATAAATCAGTTGATGTGTAAACAGTACCTTTAAACGCTATGGAATATTTTGCAAAATGTAGTTTAGAACAGTTGCCTGAAGTAAGTGGTTATATTTACACTAGTGAGTCTAAACTTTTGATGGGAAGTATATATGGAACAACAAAAGTGATAAAATAATGAAGATGGACACCTAACAGGGAAGACAGAAGCTAATTGGCCAGAATATACTCCGAAACCTTAAAGTATATTACAGAAGTGGACATCTGTAAATTTCTCACTTTCCTTCAATTTATAGTTCTTTCAACAAACAGTAACACCATAGCAATTTCCTGCTGTATAACACCAAGTGCTTGTATGTCATTATAACGAGAATCATGAACATTTACCATTGACAACATAACACGTACTTGAGCATGTTTGATCAAAGCTGGAATGTAGTTTTGCCAGGTATTACATGTTCTACTGGCCCAAGTTCAGCGCTGTGAGTGGCATCATGGTTAACTCTACATTCCTGGCCTTCATGGTGCTGTTATCATGGTATCAGTACACACAGAAGGACACTGTGGAGGAGGAGGAGTTTGTGCCGATGATGCTGAGGATGTCGCTCGATGTGAGACGACAGAGAATCCGAGAACAGTTAGAGCGAGAGAGAGGAGGTGAGATTACTCAGTCTGTCAGTGTTGTTTCTGGTAATATTTAAATTTGTGAGTCAGATAAAAATCACTGAGCATGGTGGTATTTGTATGTTGTTTGGTTTAGTTTGTGCTATTTGAATGATACCCCTTGGGTTTGTTTTCTGCAGCAGCAGACAGCTCTTCTCCAGAAGATGAGGAGGAAACAACTGTGAAGTCATTTATGGAGTCACATGACTTTCAAGGATCACATGACTACCAAGAATCACATGGCATTCAGGATGAGAGTCTGGGAGAAATGGCCGCTGGGGATGATGATGACATAGTTCTGATGTCATCTGATGTCATGCTGCCAGGAAGCGATGATAACAATCGACTCAGGTTACGACGCCCAAGCAATATAGAGGCAGTTCTTTGAGGGGCAGGAATAGTTGATGATTGAAAACTGCCATTTCTCATTATAATTTAGATAAGATAGAATACCGTTTTATTGACAAAGATTATAGATCCAACGAAGATCAGTTTTCATGACACATCAACAGGAATACAGAAACACCTCTTTTGGTTTCAGTAGTGTAAAGCATGTAAGCAATACATACATATACTGGGATGATAAGGTTCTTTGTTAATGTAGATCCACATTTTAAACAATATGGATTCCTTGAATATTTGAGTAGAGTGAAACAGTTACTCCAGTATCTCTCTCATTGTCTTCCAATGTTATTTAGTCTTTGATTTGAAGAGTATATGTTTATGATAACTGTCTTGCTTCCTGGATCTGCTTGGGCTATCAGTATATGCCAATGAACCTCACTGAGATTATGACCATAAGTTTTGCCTTGAAGCTCAAAAAGGCCGGGGACAATGTGTAAAACGACAATATGTCCTATGTTTTTAACACTAAGTTACGAGCTGAGACAGATTATGCCTCAGTGAAGGGTAGAAGCTCCATGTGACCTCAATTCATATGTTGCAACTATTTGAAAATAGATTTCATTTGTATAATTTGTAAATGAAACCTCATTTATCAAAATACAACCTACTTTGTTTGAATGCTGCATAGTTTTAGTTATATATGCATGTGTGTGCAATGTTTGAGTATGATTTGTTAGAGTATGACATGAAATGTGTGTACGGTTTGACTTGAATTTGTTATGGAATATTTTGACTGTGATATGTTTGTCAGTGTGAATTTTTCTGAAGACAAATGTATATATTTTTATGATAATACCAAAGGGCTACTGTTAATATCCATTGTTTGAAAGATAAACCACTTGTAGTTTTTGGAAATGTTTGTTTTGGGTGCTGATGTGTGGGCTGGTCTATATTTCTAATATGCACACAATTGGTACAATATACATGCATTTGCTGACAAAGTGTTGCCAGAATATTTTTCTTGCCTTATTGTGTGGAGTTAGTATTCCAGTGTAGATAACCATTAGTTTCAATCTTTTTGACTTGCACTAGTGATAGAGTGACTTATTTGAGAGTGGTTTGTTCCCCCATACAGAAAACCAATTCACTGATTGGTGTATTTGTGAACTGAGAACGTCAAATTAACATTCATAAGTTTTCGACTTTGATAAATGTTTTTAGAACAGAGTTACATTCTTTTGAAATCGCAATTTCATAGAAAACATTACATAATGATTGTGGAGCTGTACTGTTGTCGAAAACTTTTAACATAAATATATCTGTGGAAGGAATAATTAACCAATCAGTTCAGTATTCATGAAAATCTGTTCATTCCTCTTCTGAAATCAACAGATTCAAGTGATTGTGAATACTGTGCCTGCTTCTAAATTGCTGCTCTTGCCAGCAGCGCTGTGATTGGTCAACTTGTGTGAGTGTGTGATGTACGATGTGTGATAAACTGGCCAACTGCACAAGGTCCAGCTGTTTGCTTTTAATACACTTTCAATTGTTTTTAACTTTATATTTTTAGATTATTTTGTCAGTATTGTTTTATGTAAATAAAATGATACACAATTTGGACATTTTAGTTATGTTTTCAGCAAATGCAAGTAATGAAAAGAATTATTGAGCTTATGGAGAGCGAGATATCCATTGGATTATTACAATGTTAGATTGTTGTGCTGATGACTCGGTTTTAATTACCATTCATGGACATGTAATCCTATGCATAGCATGGTCTGCAGTTGTATATCAAGCCTAGTACAAGCAGAGGTACACACAAACACACACACACAACATGCTGTGAAAGTGGCAAGAATCTTAAACTCAACATTTGAACCTATCTCACTTTTCCCTTCCTTAAAGCCCATGGTTGTCTGCAACTCAGTCCAAAGACAAGAGTGTGAAGTACTGGTTTTTCAAGATTAAAATCTACTGGAAATATAAAAATCAGCATCTTTGTGTTGGTATACTTACAAGCATTTTGACACATCGATAGCCTAGTTTGGTGGGGTCATTTTCAGTAACAGAAATACCTGGAGATGATAACTGAGTTACATGAGCTGAATACAACACACTGACATGAAACCATCAATGAGACTTGATGTTAATGAGAACACAGAATTATAAATGTACCTTTACAGAAACGTGTTGTCAGAATGAAATGTTATTGAACGGTAGTTATATCACAGCATATGTCAGCTTGGCAAATGAGGAGTCGGTGAGGTTTAACACCACCTTGAACAGTATTTCAGTTATATACTAAATTCCAAAACAAACACGAATGTTACAAATGTTTGAAAATACATAAAATGAGGCAAACATCAAGATGGTGTGTTCAGTGCTCAGGACTGCGTTTACAAGAAAAGCTTGACATGATGTAGGGTGTAGATGTTTTACAGATCAAACAAAGTCCACAGGTTGATTGTATGTAAAATAAAACAATACAATCGCTGTTTTTCAAATAGATTTTTATTACAAAATATACAGAAACTTTTCTTCCAAATATTATCCACATCAGTATCATCTACACAAAGAGATTCAAATGACTGTCGACACGTTTTAGAATGCAATCATTTCTTTATGCATGTCCTTCATGAGGTATGATGTTTACATTCATGTTCTCGTGATGCTTTGGGGCATGAGGAACGGGTGACATTCATCCATCCAATGTAGCCAGGTGACTAGCTAGTGTATGTCAACTGTTCCCATATTCCAACCATATCCACCACGACTGACTGACTGAGTTTGGTTTTACGCCACTTTTAGCAATATTCCAGCAACATCACGGCGGGGGACACCAGAAATGGGCTTCACACATTGTACCCATGTGGGGATTTGAACCCGGGTCTATGGCGTGATGAGCCAACGCTTTAACCACTAGGCTACCCCACCGCCCCATATCCACCACGAAAGGGACTTGTGAAGATCCAGGTTAGAATTGGTCTTCAGCAACCCATGCTTGTCATAAGAGGCGACTTATGGGATCGGGTGGTCAGGCTCTCTGACTTACCGGTAGTTGACACATGCCGTCATATCCCAAATGCATAGATCGATGCTCATGCTGTTGATCACTGCATTGTCTGGTCCAGATTCGATTATTTACAAACCGCCAATATCACGTCGCGGGGACACCAGAAATGGGCTTCACACATTGTACCCATGTGGGGCCTGGAACCCGGATCTTCGGTGTGACGAGTGGACACTTTAACCACTAGGCTACCCCATCACCCTGCATTTCACAAAGAGACCTTAGCGCTAGGACTGTCATAAACCTATGTTAATGTATGGGAGTTACAATCATCTTAGCACTATGATCGCTTTGTGGACACAGGCTAGTAAGACACAGGCCAGTAGGACACATCACCCACTGACATGATCCTGCTGAATTGCTGGCTACGTGAGCTTGTACTTGTTGAAGACTGTGTACTTGTAGTAGAGATGGCCAGCTGACACAATCAGACCGACACAGTAGCCTATCAGAGTCCCCATCACACAGCTGATGGGCCATACCTGAAAAACATGAAGACCAAGCATCACTGACGAAGAGTGAGTGAGTTTAATTTAACGCTGCTTTTAGCAATATGCCAGCAATATCACAGCAGGGGACACCAGAAATGGGCTTCACACATTGTACCCATGTGGGGAATCGATGAAACATGACGAGTGGACTTTAACCAGTAGGCGACCCCACCGCCCTCACTGGCGAAGAGGATGACTGACTGACTGAGTTTGGTTTTACGCCGCTTTTAGCAATATTCCAGCAACATCACGGCGGGGGACACCAGAAATGGGCTGGCGAAGAGGATGAGTGTTACATAGAAGATTAACTCACACCCAATCATGGAGCTAAATCACAAATGGTAACCAGTCAAGCACAGCTTTAGTATCTGTATGTTGTTTACTGCCGATCTCTGCAATATTTCAGCTACATGGCGGCGATCTGTACATAATTTAGTCTGGACCAGACAATAAAGTTGTCAAAAGCATGAGCACTGATCTACACAATGGCACTGTTTTAATAGCCTCATGAGCACTGATCTACACAATGGCACTGTTTTAATAGCTTCATGAGCACTGATCTACACAATGGCACTGTTTTAATAGCCCCATGAGCACTGATCTACACAATGGCACTGTTTTAATAGCCTCATGAGCACTGATCTACACAATGGCACTGTTTCAATAGCCTCATGAGCACTGATCTACACAATGGCACTGTTTTAATAGCCTCTTTCAACAGGCATAAGATACTGGTGAGTTGACTTTACTGTCACTTTGAACATTTCATAAATATTACAGCCTGTCAGCATACTTTTGGAGGAAACACTACTGATGAAAAAACCCGCCTCCTCAACCAACCTGCCAGGGCCTGTCCCAGTCCAGGGGGATTGGAAACGCCCCCAGCCACGCCCCAACCACACTAGATATGGAGGTGATGAAGACCACTGACTCCTTCCCTAGATCAGGGCTAAAACATCAAAATATTAATTTTGAATATACTACTTATGCATATTATCTGGTAACGTGTTGAAGGAGAATGACGTCAACAATGCAAACTATATTTCACATTAAGGTATACGGTGCGTTTATTAGAAGGATGTCAATAACATTATTTCTCAAGAAAAAACACCTGCTTAATGGTGCAACTTTCTGACCCAATGAATCTGCACATATATCCACAACAATTCCAATCCTAAAGATCACAGGGTAGAAGCGCTGTCCACGCAAAATGTGGAGTTGCCCTAAAAGCAACTCCATTTCCTCGCTGGACAGTGAAAGAAGAACATGTGGCGCAAGAGTAATGGTAAGTTTTCCCTCGCATTTTCATTATTTTTGCAAGTATATCAGCTTTTGCCATTTGGCAGACAGGTCTAGAAATGTACAGATCTTTCAATAAAAGCTTGACACCCATCTCTATTTATTGTAATTATGAGTTGAGCGAGGGCACCCTCCTGAGTGTCGAAACAAGATTGCGGAAAATGATTGTTTTCCTTTTTTTGCTGTCAATTCTTAGATACAGTTATTTTAGGTTTTCATTGACGTTTTAGGCTTTAATGCGTCAGTATTTTTTTCAGTTATCGTCGAAAAATCAAACTGTACATTTTATATGGAGTTGCTCACATTTAGCAAACAAACTGTCCATTGAGTTGTAATGTTACTGTCCAGGATGTTGACAGTTTGTAGTTTTAACCGTCATGTCATCAAATGTTATTCTAGAGATATTTGTTGTGAAGAAGAATTTTCTGTTGTAGACATGGCTACCTGGCATATTTTGGCGTATATATTACGATTTTGTACCATCAAGTACGATTGTACACCCACATTGCAGTTTGTACCCTGACACGGATTTAATGTAAAAAAACATCATGTACGATCAGAAGTGAATTAACAAATATACAAATATACATCTACCCAAGGAATAACCAAATCCAGGGCCCCATTTCACAAAGCTCTCATAAGCCTAAAATCTCGTAACTTTTCTTGTAGCATGTGTACTTATAATACTGTAACAATGACTTACGATAGTTGTAGCGCTACGAAAGCCCAGGTTATTCCAAAGTATGTACATGTACATAGTGTAGTATTGCACATTCGGGTAAAGCACATCACTAAGCATCTAAAAACCAAGGGACATCTAACCAATGTTGATTGTGCGAAGTCAAATACAATAATAACTTTCTTTGTTCCCACCGGTGGCACCAGCAATATAGACAAGTCAATGGCCGTTGTTAAAGCAGAAATCCTGACACAATGACACAAGACGAGCAGCAGCCAGACCAGCTACAACTCTAACCACAAAGGGCCAGGAGAGCTGCAGTCAGTCACTCCTGGGTGCGGCCATGGCTCATAGAGGAGAGGGGATAACAGTTTGGTCAGTTCTCCAGCCTCCTGAACACCCATTTGAGGCTGGAGGATCCAGTAGCATTCCAAAATGACCTGTGGCAATTACACGGCTATGTGAATGGTTCTGTTCTTGTGAACAAAGACTAGCATTAGACCCAATTCCGATTGGTGAAATGAATCGAGGTGGTGAATCGGTTCGGACTGGTACACTGGAAGGACAACGAGAGCTCGAATGTGAGCGAGATCTAAAACGACGCTTTCCAGAAGTAGAAGAACAAATCAGAACCTCCGAACCAGATGGTGACTCAATTCGTGTGGGTGAATTGTTTCGGTGGGATGAAGCCGTACGAATAGGAGAACGGAAACGTTCCAACAGTGATGATCCATGTTTTGATGATGAAGGCTTGGATTTAGGAGTTCTAGAGGACTGTGAACGGTCCGATGAAACGGATCTACAAGATAATGTAGTTCGCAAATCCTGTGTAGATGAATTATCAGTCACTACCACCCTTCCATGCACTGGAGAACCTGAGCTAGGCGAGGGAAGCATCACAAAAAAGCCTTCTAACATTCTCAGACAAATAGGAACCGGACGAAGCGTCCATAAAATCCTCGTCATGAGAGATGGGAGATTTAGAACGGCGAGCAGTTAGGGTGGGGCGATCTAAACATTGTTTTTAGAGGGAGAGGGAGAGGACCAGGTACAGCAGAAGCATTTCTGGCCCTGTCAGCCAAAACGCCTGGCACAAGCATGTTTGAAGAGAATATATTTTTATATATCATTGATTGTCAGGACAAAACTGTACCAGAGCTACAGATAACGTTTTGGGTCATTGAGTTATGTACTCGCTTGTGTTCATCTCAAGTGGGTATCCTAATTTTCCTTTGAGTAACCAAATAAATTGTACTCACCTCACTCACACTCAATTGGGTATTTTGCCATTTTCCATTTATTTCAAAAATATAATCAAGTTTAAATGTTAGTGTTTGTTATTTATATTTGATCTGTAATATGAGATACAATAAGAATGACTGCAAGTTGTCAAGTTCATGTCCTGAAATAGAACCTCTCAGTACTAGCAAATATTTGACATTTTCGTGTGTACGCATGTAAGATGACATTTATTGAGTATTTACCAAAATTCAAGCGTACGTGTACACAATAGACTTAATAGGAATTGAGTTTTCACATAAATATTTGCGTAATTTACGCAGATACACATCTTATTTGTACCTCTGCTGTACAAATAAAAAGCCTTACTTGGTGTGGGCGAACACCCTGATCCATGTGTTGAGATGTGGGCCAAGGAACACACATGCTGGCAGTACAGATGTTGAGGACAACAATAGGGCAAAGTGGAATGTCTCAGCTGTTGCCCTGAACAGGAATAAACAACAATCAGGGATTTCAAAGAATGCATGATGCCTTATACTTAGCACAGATGGGGATCATCATCATTAGCATCTTCATCATCATCATCATATTCATCTTTTGAAAGGAATCACATGCTATTTCTTAGTTTGTCAAACAATTTATCATTTACAGACTGACAGGTGCATGAATATCTAGTGAGTTTAGTTTTACACTGCTTTTAGCAATATCATGGCAGGGGTCACCAGAAATGGGCTTCACACATTGGACCCACTAGGCTTCCCCACCACCCCCATAAATATCTAACAAGCCTGACCTTCCAAAACTCTGTTTGAATCCGCTGTCAAGCGAGACCAAATTTGTAAAATAACTGAAAGAGTTGATAGTCACCATTCAAACAACATGATCTCAAATATGTTCAAACAATATTTGTTTAGGCCAAGTGTTCTACTTCTGATGGACATGTAAAGATGAAACTGAAAAAATTGCAGTCAGAGTTAAATAGAGGAATCTCTGACTGCTAATTGCACAGCACAAAATCAATTCACCATAAAATATTAAAAGCATCTAATGAGAAATGGAGCACCTACTCCGTGAATGGTGCTCCATACAAGACGGCTACAGCATGGAAGAGGAGCACACTGGACATGAACAACCCCGCCCCCTGAACTGCATGGAGGATCTGCAGCAGTAAAGATATGGTTTACAACATTAGCAGATGATGTGATTGTCATTAGGGTGTGGTGCTTTGTCTCCCTCTTGGCTTTCGGATCTGTGCATTATAAGTCTCTCTATCTGTAACTATATCAGTTCTCTAATGGTTGTGAAAAAACAAACTTTAAAAATACAGCTTGTTGGAAAGTGTTGTTTATGCAACCAATCTAGGCTGAAGCCATGAAACCTTTATAGGCTTCTTGGTGCAAAATGAGAAAACAAGTGATTTGTTGGCATTGTAATACCTGCAGTGCATGACCAGCTATTAAAGTAATTTATCATGAAGCTCAGAAGTAGTACCCAGCATGTCTGCTGTGAAACAGGGCCCTAAACACTGAGTGAGTGACTGGGTGGGTGGGTATTTGGGTGAGTGAGTTTAAGTGGAGCAGTGCAGAATATTGACTGGTTCTAAGCAGTATATGACTGACTGTTTATGATGAATATATCACATGTATACACTTTAAATAATAACATGCATTCAGATCAATCTGTTTTCAGCCTTAGGCTGATTTGAAGAACATGCAACACTATTTCTTCACAAGGAACAGGGGAAAACATTCAAAACCTAAGCGAATTGATTTCCCAATTTTAATAACATTTCAAGGGAATCGCAGAATCTTGCACTTGCAACAAGTTTCTTAATACGTTCGGGCAAAAGGGTTAATATATGTACTCCGTTCACATCTATAAGAATCTATAAGAATAACTTGCCTTGAAATGTTTGCTCTGCTTTGTCACAAGCCAAAACAACAGTTCGCTCACTGTAATTATTCCACAATAAACTAATGTCAGCGGCAAGGCATTTTGTATCAAATCCAGGGGCCCCTTTGAATTAGCAGGGATGTATACAATTGATAAAAGAATCACACATATCAAGACATTTGTCAAACTTTGTTTTAACACGGATTGTTTTGACATCCCATGCCCAGTCATGGAGGCAGCCATTTTGCCAAGGGAGGTAAGTCACGCGTGTTTTAACATTGCAAACCAACAGCTGCACACAACGTCATTTCTATAAGTAAATGAGTTGCAGCAGTAGGGTCATGTAAAATTGTAGTCTGCAATGTTAAAATATTATTGTCATGTATGCATACATTGTCATTCCTTCTGAAAGTATGGAAGACGTTTATCGGAAGAGGGAAGAGAGTGTTCATAACGGTTAACGTACTTCATATCCTCCAACCAAGGTTCCCTTATTTACAATAATACGATAGTCATTGGACTGTTGTTTATATTATTTAAATGATGATGTAAGCAGTTGGTATACGGAAGGAGTGGGTAGGCGAGCATTTGTGTTGTTGTTGTTGGTGTGTGTTTTTTTGTTTGTATTTTTTTGGTTTGTTTGGTTTGGGTTTTGTGTTTATTGTTGTTATTTGTTTGTTTTGTTGAGTTTTGTTTGTTGTTGTTTTGTTTGTTTGTTTGTTGGGGGTGGTGGGGGTTGTGTGTTTGTTGTTGGTGTTTTTTGTGGGTGGGGTGCGGTGTACTCTTTTTCTTTAGGGAGTGTGTGTGTTGGGGTTGTATCATCTGGATTGTGTTTTTATTCATGTATATTGCACAATACAGACCACTGTGCGATAAACTGTGTGTAAGACATCTGGTCCAGACATGATCAAGGTACACTATAAATTCTTGTATTGTTTATTTGTACATTATAATGAAATGTTATTATTGCCATCGTTGACCTTATACACACTCTCACGGTTGTCATATTTAATACCAACAGATGGCCATGTTAAAATTAATATATATTATATTGTCGCTGGTTCAAATGGACATTTTATGATGAAATACACGGATATTTTTATTATTTTTAACTTTGGGAAGGTCACGTTAACCGTGTACAATGGTAACCTAAAGTTATGACAAACATCGGGAATGGTCAGTATTTACAGTTCAAAAGTACGTTAAAACATCTAGGATGCTTGTGATTAAAATATTCAAATCCAGTTTCACATTAATGAATAGCTACACTTATTCCATGCCAATGTCAATGAACTATATAGCTTGTAAAATACAGATTTCATAACAATTTCAGCAAAACGAGGTTCCGACGAGGCTCGAACTCGTGACCTTCTGCGTGTTAAGCAGACGTGATAACCACTACACCACGGAACCCGCTCTGTATGGATCTTCATTCATTTTGATGGTCATGCGTTACTCTCTACGTTTTTTTATTTCAGAACGTTCCACGACGATAATAGAATGTATGTGAACTATGCTTCTTCTAAATAATACTGTAGCATCAATGCATCCTACTTAGCCTTCTATCGAATGCCATTCGTGACAAGTCGTGTTACTCCGGAATGCTTTGGAAATGACTGGATGTCACGGAAAGAAGCGAGTAGTAACGGAATGGTGTTCTGCTGGATTTGCGCAGGCGATTTCCCTAAGGACTGGGTTCTGTCTATATATCATTAGTAGTTATGCAAACCCATTCGGACCTATACAAAGGGCCAGTTTTACATGTTTATCTCTTAGCTATTAATAAAACTGGACCATATATTTATATAAAAACACAAGTGTAAAATCTCTTTGTTTGGAATAGTTACAGAAAATGCGTCATCTGAAGCGTACGTAAAATCTGAAAGACAGACACAGCAACAATCATCAGAGAGAATCTGTCAGCTTAAAATATATTCCGTGGAATAACTCACAAGTGACTGTTTTGGGTAAAACAATGTGTCTGTTATATCGGAGATGGGTTGTTTTTTTATTATACCGACTGATCAAATACCGCCGTCTGAGGCCTATGTAGGCATATCATACTGCGACACCATATATTGTAAGTGGCGGTAGCTTTCACATTTTGTATATGACAATAATATGATATCAATTCCTACAGGTATGTTCAGCTTCTCTGTACGTCGCGCTTTGCGTTTGATGTAGGAGTTGACCGAAAAAGGAATTGCGTCTGTGCCTTAGAGAAACTTTTTTAGTCGTGGTTGACCGCATACCTGATCAGATTTTGTGGTACACGTGTCTTTGATTAATCTAGTTATCTCCCGTGGTACTATGACGTCACAATGACGTGACGTCATGACAATCACTCCGACATCCACTCGGTAATGTCAACACGCTTGAGTTTTGCTCACTAAGGTTTTGCGACTCTTTCCGTGAAACAAGTGTTGAAAATGACTTATTGTGGCCGCGACTGGCTCCGAGGGGCAAGAACAGCTCCAGGTTAGTTTCAGCTTACAGTTAATGTGATTTTAAAGTAAGATACTTCATAATTGAAATCTATTTTGTTTCTTCTCTCTTCTTCAAACGCTGCACTGGCAATTTTCCCTCAGATAAGTCATGTGATGGGTTTGGTGTATATATGTTAAATAATGGAGAAAAGTTAAAGTCAACTGAAATTGAAAACAAGCTTTTGGAAGTTTTAGTCTGCGAAAGAAAATAATCGTCTGAATCTTCTGCAGAAACCGATTCCTTAAAATACATGTAAAAATAATGTGAATTAAATCGAGCATCTCATCTTCATCCAGTGTAATATATTTTATTTTAATTACAATTTGTGTTCACACCCTGCTTGCCTTTTTGACAGCAGGCTTGAATCTGAAGGGGACTAATTAAGACTGTCGACTTATTTCACCTTCCAGAGATTCAGCATCTGTTCAACAGTGAACTTCTGGATGAGTTTGACTCCATCCGCCTTTGGCTCCAACTGATCCGAAGCGCCATCCTCAAAGAAAATGAGGTAAGCACAGCATTATTTATGATTGAAATGTTTTGACTGGAACAAAACTACAAACCATTGAAACCTAAATTTGCCGAAGGCTTAAACTTTACCAAGTATGTTTTTAGAATGTCATTCATCCTTATGTTAATAGCCGTATTAAGTATAAAATTGTGAACAAAAACAGCTACTGTAAACATCTATGGAATATGAATGTATATCTTTTGTATTACAGGTGACTGAGAACAAGAGAGGCAAGCGAAATCTGTGGATGTTACAGAGAGAGGTTGACTGTGGTTGGACACAGATGTCCGAGCTTTTCCTCAGCAATGATCGCCACCCCAGCGTGCGGAACTCACTCGTCGACATCCACAACACCGTCACCACGGCCGCCTCTCACTACAGACTCTCGCGACTTCTCCCACCACCCATCTTCGTCCAGGGAGAACTGGTTCCCCCGGCTCTGCCCCCTAAAGCCGGGAAGCTCAGACGTTTCATCACCAGTGTCCGTACAAGACTGGCATATGTTGTCTCCAAAAACAAAGTGAAACCCACAGACGTTTCTGTTGTCAAATGCCGTGTTAGAGACACTTCTGGATATAAGTCTGTCTTTGTTCGTGTTGTTCAGTGTATCAGGAACATCACCAGCAGCAAGAACCAGGTTCTCCCTGTGTGAAAAGATACACATGTATTGTAAAACCTTTCTTGATGGGTGTACATTGAATGTGATTTGTTTGAACTTGTACATATTGTCTGACGTTATACATCTTTGTAAATCATGAAATTGTAAATCATTAATTGTAAAAAGCTATTAAATATCTGTAAATCATGTTTGCAACTATAAAATCTCTACTATTTCATCATTCCTGTGACCGCAGTAGGCCATAGCCAGTTTGGAAAAGGCCGACATAAAATGGAATGAATGAAATGTGAAGTAGTTTGTTATTTGTTTCCCTTGACGTGCTAACAGTTAGACAGACGTGTATTGAGATTCCGACCCTGATTAATGTGTGTCTTGTACAGAGTCTTGTGTCTTATCTGCATACACAGGACCAAGTACGCATGCTTGTACCTATGTGTGTTACACACACGCTTGACAGTGTAAACCTTGGTTGGTGCACGTGCTACATGCAAACGAACACTTTAACAAACACTGTTAATTTTGTCTCGCGTGAAGGAGGAAACAGTGCATGAGTAGATGGCTTTAAGCAATATTTCAACTGCAATCACTGCGAAGAAAATCCGCAGTGGGTTTGAACACATCTGGGATATCAAGTGGAGTGAGTTTAGTTTTACGCCGCACTCAGCAATATTCCAGCTATATGGCTGCGGTCTGTAAATAATCGAGTCTGGACCAGACAATCCGGTGATCAACAGCATGAGCATCGATCTGCACAATTGGGAACCGATGACATGTGTCAACCAACTCAACGAGCCTGACCACCCGATCCCGTTAGTCGCCTCTTACAACAAGCATGGGTTACTGAAGATCAATATTCTAACCCGGACCTTCACGGGTATTTCCAACAGTAGACAATGTCGTGACGTATCAATGATTGTCAACACACCAACGAGAAAAAGACAAGAGGAGATTTTCTCAAATACATCCAACTAACACTGATCTCTGTGAAGATATTAGTAAATTTTGTTTCCAAAGAAATCTGAATTGGTAAAAAAATCGGAAATACTAATAACAGTATTTTTCAAACCAAATAATTTATCATTATTAATTCATAGCAGATTACCAAACTTTCATACACGAGACAGGTAATCGCCAGCACACAAAGTCAGCGATAGTAATGATTTAAACATATTCATTTCCAAAGAAATCTGAATCGGTAAAAAAGCAAAACTTGCTTATGTAAATACCTCTCCAGGTAATGAGTTGACACAGCTGGTAATACGTTTTACAAGGTAGTGCTAAACATAATGTACTATGGGATCCTGGAAGGGACATGGTCGCATTGTCGCGCTTTGGTTAATTTTGCCTCATTAAAACATTGCTTGTTTTTGAGAGGGCGACAACGCGACAATGTCCCTTTACAGTTGCACAAACGGAAAATATACAGCTAGTAACTTAGAGTCAGTGGTGATAGTAACACCGGTCATCCTTAAGGTGAATTCGATTTTGAACATCAAAGACGCATTGAGTCAGCCTTGTCAATGCTATATACATGTTCGTTTTATTTTATTCAAAAGGGGATTAATAGTTTACATCGAGGGAAGAAGGAAGGTACGATGGCAATCAATGTTACGTTTGTGTCCGGTCTTACCTGGAATCATCACCATTTGATAGTTATTCATCAACCGAAGCTTCTGAAGTAGATGACATGATCAAACAGTTATGATAGCATGCTGGGTTTAAGGGGTTTTGTCGTTTCCAACATTGTGCCTGTACACAACACGATGTACCAGGCATATGTCTATGGCCTTATTAAACAAACAGTTTTTCGCATTTTCAAACTTGGGAGGTGTAGTCGTTGAAGCGTTGGCTCGACAGGACTGAGCCAAACTCTCCATAAAGTGTACATACCGTTTGATTTGGATACTGAAGAGGTAACACATTATACATTGACATTAATTCCTGACAGAGGCACAGGTAGAAATATTGAAATCTCTCAAAACGAATTGTTTGTCGGATAATTTTAATAAATCGGCAAAATCCAAAATAAATCTCTGCCAAAGCCAGTGCCCATGGTACGATTCTATATTGTATAGCGTGTATAATAGTAACATACTCATTGATACATGCTGTGAACTTATATTGCTTATATACAATGACGAATCACGTTTGACTGGAAATATGCATTGCGCAAACATTAGCACTACATAACATGCTTCAAGGCAAAGTCTATACTTCTATTATGTATATAATGTTTGTAAAGCATAACTTAATGAAACTTACGTCACTTCGCTATATGATAACTTTATTAACATTAATGCCCTTCTTGTCAAGGAGGCCCTCGACTCATGAGGCAGTACAACGTGGTATACAGCTTCTAATCAGGCATGCTGAGCATGGTAATTGACGATTACAATTCAGATACGAAAACAGCACACCTGGCAAGAATTAAAACAAATGAGAGTTATCTTCAGTTCAAGAATATGATTTTCACGCCAGTTATTGGCGGAAATCATTTCTTGAAAACATTTTGCGCTTTTCTTATTTATTTATTTTCACAGTTTGTTTCTATACCCGTTTGTCTTTTTCACATCAATAAAACTTTAAAGGAACTCACAGCTGATCTCACACACACACACACACACACTTCCCAACCCATTCCGCTGCAGTCATCCCATGAATCTCTTTTATTTAAGATTTACGTTGGGGTGAGGAATCGTTTATATTAAAAATTGATGAAAAGTTCGAACATCTCTGCAAATGGAGATCTTGGTACAAAATACATTTTTCACGTTCATCTCACTCCCTAACATGGCTGCACTCTTCTACGTTGTTTTCGCAAGACGATGAAAAATATATGATAAACAATGTGGTCATGATTGACAAAAAATGTTGTTTTATAATCAGTTAAGGTACACCGATTCCAACGCCTAATCTCCTTAACGGTTCATTCTCTTAACGATTAATCTCTTTTGTGGAGATCCAAGATGGCCGTCTTCGCTGTATCCAAGCTTTAAACAATCAGTGTAGTTTATAAAGAGATGTTGTTTTTCGAATGTTGTTTTAACAACTAGTCGTGCATCATTTCCACACCTTAGTGATAACCAATTTCATTGTTTTCTGGTCTCCCCCGTTCCGATGGAGACGTTATTACCGTCTCCATTTACTGAGATACAGGATATATATCGATGGACAGCGATCTACATCATCAAATGATACATCATGTCGTCTGTAGCCCTACCACAAGATTTGTGCGTCTTCTGTCGCCAAGTGTGCCGTCCGCGACAGCACTGCCTCCAGTGCGACTTCTGTTTCCACTGGCAACATCGTACATGCGAGACAGGTAAGTAACGCCTAATAACCTTCACGTTGCTAGTATTATCAATGTGATAAACACGGTATCATAAGTCAACATACGGAATGCCGACGCCCAACAGGAACTTCTTTCAAGGTCATACAACGGCACAAAATTGTTGGCTAATTTTCCCACAATAATAGATATAACACAATGCAATACAATTTGTATTTCTAATGTAAACTAAGTACTCGTTTGATGCTCTCTATGCATAAAGTGCTGCAATGATTCATTGGTGTTATTTTTTTACTTTAGTGAAAATGTCTGTCAAATAGTACAAATAGTAATGTTTACATTGATAAATGAGTTAATGATATCCTAGTTGCTAGAATATTTCACGAATATTTATTGAACGTTTTCAATATACAGGTCTGACTCAGGCGTTCTACCGTCAGCTGGTGAAAGGGGAGGCCACTCTCGATAACTGGCCATGCTATGTGTGCAGGTTGACGCAACATCTTCCTACACCCGCCATCACACCGCTGGATGAGGTTACGTCGGAGACGACGCGAGAAGATGGCAGCACCTTCGTCCCCACAGCAACAGCTTCTGCTTCAGTTCAACCCGACTTGGTGATCTCTACCGTCCACTCTACAGCAATAGAACCGACGGCAGATCAACACGACACTGACGGTTCAAAGTCGCCTGATGACGACGATGTGCCTCTGTGGCTGGTTTCATCACCATCGTCTGCATCATCGACATCAGCATCAGTGACCATCGAGGACCAGATCAGCGTGTTGTACCTCGAGGATTCTCCTCTTCCTCTGCCTCCGTCGACCACGCCCCGATCTCCATACATGTCGAAACTCGTCTGCCTCGATTCATCATCAGAAGAGGAGCTGCGATCGTACCTACCGCCCTCACCTCACCACACGACCCTGTCAACACCCCGACTTCCGGTTTCCCCGACTCCGGAGTCCCAGCCCGAGTGGTCAACTGCAACTGACTCGCCCCTCTCTTCACCTTGTCCCACCACTCCAGAAAATCAATGTCCCCCTCTATGTCAGGCGACGTGGTCTTCCGCTACCGACTCTCTTCTCCCCACACCTGCTGCCGTGACCCCAGGGACCTCCTACCAGTCAGACATCGCGTGGTCCTACGATGCCCCCTCACTGTTCCCGTCGCCGTACCCTGTCACCCCAGCAACGCCTAGTCAGGTATTGGTCAGGAACGACAGCAGCGTTCCGCCATCGCAAGCTTTGTTCCTGCATGTTGATGATGTTCACACCGGCGAGTCCGATTCCGATTCCGATCGTGGATCCGCTTCCGGTTCCGGTCTCGGCTCGCCCCTACGGCAGATTCGGAAGAGACTTATTGAGGAGCTCAAACTGTGATAGACTTGTGAGATAGTGCATATGGAAGAACGAACAGATTGACGCCCTCTAATCACCAAACGACGAAGTATCTTCATTATTAAACATCGGGCACGATATGTTATAAATCTCCCGACCTACGTGCACCGAAAGCATCTTCCCACAGCTGGTGCACCATCGTGTTATATATAAAATCACTTGTATCAGTTACGAATTACTTTTTTACTCCACCCTTCGAAAATAAAATATAGTCTTTGCAAACGCTGAGTCTATTTCGTTTATTTAGTTTTTTTTCACATGTACACGATTCTACTTCTCATCAATAATGTGTCATTTGCTATTTTTCAATATAAAATGTGGAAACAAATACAACACTTGTTTATCGATTGGTTCCAATGTCTTCCGATCGCCTTTTGAATATAGGTGAAACATGATGTATCTTCTTTTTCCGAAACATCATCAGATTATGCTAAATTGGTCATAATGCATATTACCCATGGGTGCACCCTGACAATATCGGTCTGAACACTGTCTTTATTTCTATCTTTTCATTCAGCACACCGATGGTTCTGGGATAGAAACAAACACTCCTGAGGGTCATACAGACAAGTGTATTCATCTATCGCAAGCCGCCAGCAATACTCGACGTCGAGCACCACGTACTACGTAGGGTTACACACTTAGCCTAGAGTCTGGTGACCTTTCAGCCTCCATGCTGATATCTGTCTGGTCAGTTAATCATAATCCAGTATGATATTCGCCATTATATCTCATATAAACAGTTACATAATGCGTCACTGCTTAATTAAAAGAAAGCCATGATGCTATGAATTAAATGTACGCTGGGGGTAAATTAAGATACTGAAAATAGGAACGACCTTTTTTATATTTAGGGGCTGGCATTTTGTACGGAGACAAGGCATTTTCACACCAGCAATGACCAGATATATTTTACATGTACCTTTATAATATTTTCATAAAAATCATCCCGCAGCAAAGTATATCTTGTGGTTGTTAATTTTTTCGTATTTTCATAACCTCAAGCATTGTTATTTGGTTCAAGTTTAATCTGGGTCAATGTTCAATACAACCCCAGACCTCCACCACTCCCACATATTGTCTCACTGCTCAAGAACCAAACACCAGTATACCTCAGCCTGTCTCTTCTATGTTATTTTATCTACCTGGCAGCCGTAGTCATGACAACGGTTTACCATATTCTACAGAACATTGGCATGTCGTTGTCACGAGGCCTATGGCAGGGAAACTGACTGCTCGTCGTGTGTGTTTGCCAAGGTTGTATTCTCTGTCTCGGTGTTCAGATCTAGTTCTGTGTCAAGTGTATCAGCTCTGCTTGTGTCCGTCATCGCTTCTGTGACAGCAATTTCTTTCGCTGTTTTCGAATCCAATCTGATCTCTGACGCGTTTATATCAGTTGTGTCATCCGTTGACGAATCTGTTTTGTTCACAGTTTTAGCTGCTTCTAATTGTGCTTTAAGTTGTGTTACTTCACCATTGAGAACCAGTATCATCTTGTCTCGCTGCAAATATAAATAAAACAAAACAACTGACCGAATGTGGACCTATATTCTGGGCCAGCAAAACTGTTAAGTTTACATATGTTGTGTGACGAAACGCTGTTCTTTGATCATCATGGATATTTAGTTGCGAGTGACAAAATATGAAATGGCCGCGCCCCAATTCACACACACACAGACGCACACGCACACGCAAATTTGTATATCACACTGTAGCATAGCATTGCATTTAAAATAATCAACAAGAAAACAGCCGGTATAGTGGAAAAAGCACAGCACAGTGATGTTAGATGTGCCACAGCACCGGAGTACACTAGCAATTTTAAAGGATAGGATAGCATAGCATAGCATAGCATAGCATAGCACTGGATAGCATACGAAACATTTATTTATTTAGTGAGGTGTGTTGTGTCGTTCGACCATTACGCCGGTACTATCACAGAAGAATTGGGGCTCACACATTATACCCTATGTGGAGAATCGACTCAGGACTTTGACGTGACTAGCGAATGCTTTACCCACTATGCTACCTAAGGATGTATAAAACTCAGTGAAACCAAATCAAAATGTTTTCAACGAATCTAATCACGATTTCCAAGCCGTTGTAAATGTTTCCGTTCCCTGGTTGAGGGGCGGTGGGGTAGACTGGTGGTTAAGGCGTTCGCTCGTCACGCCGGAAACTCGGGTTCGATTCCCCACATGGGTACAATGTGTGAAGCCTATTTTTTGTGTCCCCCGCCGTGATATTGCTGGAATATTGCTAAATGTGGCGTAAAACCAAACTCACTCACTCACTCCCTGGTTGAGAAGGGCAAGATAAGGGAATGGACTATCTGCCGGTTTGATTCCAATGCAGTATACCCCGGAACCAGGCTGAAGAGGTGCAATCGACAATGGAGTTGTCCCACGATCGTTTGTTTGTTGTTTAAGTGAGTGAATTTAGTTTTACGCCGCACTCAGCAATATTCCAGCTATATGGCGGCGGTCTGTAAGTAATCGAGTCTGAGCCAGACAATCCAGGGATCAACAGCATGAACTTCGATCTACGTATGATGACATGCATCAACCAAGTCAGTGAGACTGACCACCCAATCCCGTTGGTCGCCTCTTACGGCGAGCATGGGTTGCTTTAAGACCAATTCTAACCAGAATCTTCCCGGGTCCCCCGCGATCGTAACGCAGACAGATATCGTGTATTGTGAAAAATATGATCACAATAAGAATGGTACACTATTTCATCTCAACATACATCATTCCCTAACCTACCTTCTGCACTTGCGCCTGTAGAGCTGCCACCCTGGCGTCTGTGGTTGTGGCCAGGGAGGGTGGGGCCAGGTGGGTGTTGACTGTATTGGGGGCACGGGTAGTCACGGTGCCGGTATTATCGTCCCCGACCTGCGTCTTGTTCTGCTTGTAGGCTGTTATCTGGCGCAGGTAATGTTTTCAGGGTCAAATTTGTGTTAATTTCTCTTTCGTGTTGATTTTTCTGTTGCATTCAGTCGACACTGACTTTTTTAGCAATCTAAAATTAGTACACATTTGGATGCAAAACACAAAACAGTCACTTTTACATGATACACCCAGATCCCGCTTCAAAGAGAGCGTTAGAATGCAGACCTTTTACCAATATTGGTCCCTCGTAATGAATATATTGCACCGTGGTATCCGTTAAGTGAGTGAGTGAGGTTAGTTTTACGCTTCTTTTAGCAATATTTCAGCAATATAACGGCGGGGGACACCAGAAATGGGCTTCGCACATTGTACCCATGTGGGAAATCGAACCCGGGTTTTCGGCGTGACGAGCCAACGCTTTAATCTCTAAGCCACCCCACCGCCCCCATGCCATTAGAGTGCGGGCTGTAAACCACCGAGACTTGACCAGACAATCCAGCGAGAGAGCGTTCTTACCAGACAAGCCATGGACACGATAGCGCACACGGGAGAGTGCAGTTTTAATGTTTCGATCCAAATATGTTTTAGAAATGTTACAAACAAGACCGCCTGTAAGCGTTCGTTTCGGGACTCTGGGGCTGCCTGTACAGCGAAGTTATAGGTTGTGAAATATGCAAACACAGCATAAATAATGAATGTATTGACCCACAGTAAGATATTCCTTTTCCTCAATAATTTATTGGTCAGCGAACTGAAATGACACTCTTTTGCCATCATTGCTGGGCAACCTGTGAGGGATGCTATGATCCTGATGACATTTTTCTGTCCTTCCTTCACACTTCAACAACACAATTGCGCATATTGGTTTTTTGACAGGTTACTGTTACCCCCAAAGCTCCCGTAACACACTGCGTGTCATCGTGAACCGATGGGGTGGGTAGTGGCTCACAGTATAAATCACTGGATTGTCTGGTCCAGGCTTGATCATTTATAGACCGCCGTCATATAACTTGAAAGTCGCAGAATATGGCGACAAACAAGTACACATTAAGACGATAGAGATTTTCATGACATAACTGAATTTTATTAAACAATTTAGTAAATTGCCTTTTAAAAGCATGCTAATTTACAGCTGAAGATTCATGCACCTGGACCCCGACCTGTTTGCATTATTGACCAACGCCAGACTATTTGAAAATATAAATCTAATCGATCCAGAGATTTGAAATATGAATATTTCTTCTTAATTTATATTGATATCATTAACGTGTTAAAGACAACTCTTTAGTGTTTGAATTAATATAAATACATTCTTTAAAATACTAAATTAAAACCTGTGTTATCTTACGAACACCAGCCCCAAACCTTTATCTCTCCCTACTAAAGATTTTGAGGAAATATATCTAAATATTGAATAATGGAATACACATGTTTATTCTTATTTATATTTTTTCGTCCTACCGACCTGAACATTTCGGCCCAAATCCACAAACCAATAACCCAAAGCTCGACCTTGCGATACATCATTTTAGCATCAAACCAGTGTTCTTCGGTGATGAGGAATTCACCCCACCATCACTGAGCCGTAAGACATGCTGTGGACTGACTGAAATGCGGTTCAATCTCTCATTCACTCATGGAAGACCCCGACCCGTGAAGATTCAGCTTAGAATTGGTCTTCAGCAACCCATGCTTGTCGTAAGAGGCCACAAACGGGATCGGGTGGTCAGGCTTACTGACTTGGTTGACACATGTCGTCGTATCCCAATTGCGCAGATCGATGCTCATGCTGTCGATCACTGGATTGTCTGGTTCAGACTCGATATTTACAGACCGCCGCCATATAGCTGGAATACTGCTGAGTGTGGCGTTAAACATCACCCAACCAACCCATTAATATAAGAGGTTGCAGTTAGGCGTGCAGAGTTGCGTCACTTCCGACACGTCCTAAGGGTTCGAGTCCTGGTGAGCCTTGATTGCAGTTCTGTCAGAACCAACCCGTGAATTTGATGCCTGCCTCACTTTCTTCCTCCCACATGAATCATAATGTATTTCCTCTAATAAGCGCCCGTGAGCTTATAGTTTCAATGGACTTCCAGACCCGGCGCTTATTAGAGGACGTACGGTACATGAGTCTCATTAACCAGTTCAGACAATAACCTACTTTTCAGCCGATCCGAATTTTCTCATGTGAAAGTGAAAAGAGACACTACAAACACCTATGGTTACACTGAATTCCACTTCCTTGTTTCATAAGAAAATTGTATTTACAAATTGATTGTCACAGACTGCCCCTGTTTGAAGAGGTCGTACACTGATTCACAATTAATCTGGCTCAATGAGTTACACCCGTTATGTGTTTTTTCAACAGTATTTTTGTAACGTACAATGTGATTGATATCATATCAACTCCGTACCAGACCGCGAAACCTTTCGGCCCCAAATCCACGACAAACAACCCAAACTTCTTTGAGTGGCATTTTAGAAGTTAGGAAGTACAATATAGAACAAACTTTATGGATAACAACTTCTTTTATTCGTGAGTGCGACGTTTCGATACAGATTCTTGTACCGTTGTCAAGCATAATGGGACGGGGGAAGTGTATATATACTGGATGTGACAATGTGACAAAAGAACACAACATAATTAACATAATTGGCTAGGCAGTAGGCTGATGAAGCCAGAGAGTAGACAAAGGACAGGCGTAGAAGCCAATGATGTACAAATGATAATGACATGTTTATACAGTGAGTTTATACAGTGGATTGGGCTTGGTGGATGAGTGCATCATAAGCGGATGGAATGAAGTATCCTTGGTCTCGGTTGATGGTGGGCTTTTTGGCGTTTTGATGTGGATGAAGCTTCGGTGATCAATAACCCAAAGCTAACCCAAAGCCGACCTTGCGATACATCATTTTAGCATCAAACCAGTGTTCTTCGGTGATGAGGAATTCACCCCACCATCACTGAGCCGTAAGACATGCTGTGGACTGACTGAAATGCGGTTCAATCTCTCATTCACTCATGGAAGACCCCGACCCGTGAAGATTCAGCTTAGAATTGGTCTTCAGCAACCCATGCTTGTCGTAAGAGGCCACAAACGGGATCGGGTGGTCAGGCTTACTGACTTGGTTGACACATGTCGTCGTATCCCAATTGCGCAGATCGATGCTCATGCTGTCGATCACTGGATTGTCTGGTTCAGACTCGATATTTACAGACCGCCGCCATATAGCTGGAATACTGCTGAGTGTGGCGTTAAACATCACCCAACCAACCCATTAATATAAGAGGTTGCAGTTAGGCGTGCAGAGTTGCGTCACTTCCGACACGTCCTAAGGGTTCGAGTCCTGGTGAGCCTTGATTGCAGTTCTGTCAGAACCAACCCGTGAATTTGATGCCTGCCTCACTTTCTTCCTCCCACATGAATCATAATGTATTTCCTCTAATAAGCGCCCGTGAGCTTATAGTTTCAATGGACTTCCAGACCCGGCGCTTATTAGAGGACGTACGGTACATGAGTCTCATTAACCAGTTCAGACAATAACCTACTTTTCAGCCGATCCGAATTTTCTCATGTGAAAGTGAAAAGAGACACTACAAACACCTATGGTTACACTGAATTCCACTTCCTTGTTTCATAAGAAAATTGTATTTACAAATTGATTGTCACAGACTGCCCCTGTTTGAAGAGGTCGTACACTGATTCACAATTAATCTGGCTCAATGAGTTACACCCGTTATGTGTTTTTTCAACAGTATTTTTGTAACGTACAATGTGATTGATATCATATCAACTCCGTACCAGACCGCGAAACCTTTCTAGCGGCCAAGCCTCTTTTTGATATTTCCACGATTTCCAGATTTCCGTTTGTCAGAGCACGCTGTATGACTGAGCACGCTGCACGACGTGTTTGCAGCTCCGCAAGGATTAGAAAGAGCGTAGTGTTGCAATATACGAGTGATTAGATGTATCAAATAATACTGATTAATATTTATATATCCAGTTGAATGAGTTGGTCTCAAAATTCTGGACTGGTTATTGTACTAAGTTGCGCAATAGGACGGAACCCAGTCAGCAGGAAACGAGACTGTTTTGTAATCAATGTTTTGACTTGCACGCTGTTATACACAAAACTCACTAACGTACTCACTCACCCACTCACTAATACAGAAAACAAAACCCCAATTGTACGTTTAAGACTTAAGACAAGACCACACAAAACAGTTAGAGTGCCACTAAAACGACCGGAATTAATCAAGCGAGTGGTCCTTTCTCTTAATGGTATTCCTAAATAACACACCTTTCCGCCCGTATTCATCAATAAATTCATTTCCTTTGATCCTTATTAAAACGGTGATATTTAATGCATAACGGATATTGACAGAAGTATAAAGGATATAAAATACAATTCATCTTTACTGATGTGCTATACATATTCCAGTGCAGTAATCCCTCATAAACTAACGGATTTAATCTCCTTTTTATCTGACTATAGTACTGAAAGTACTGTCCAATCACAAATTTCAAAGGTCTGCGATAATCCATCCGAGATAATTAATTATCAATTTACGATCGTTACTCTGTTTTTGCGATGCCAATGCGCAGTGACCAAAGAAGGCTGCAGATATTACTACATTTGTCAAACATGACCATCGATCCGGATTAGGTGAGGTTTTGTCGCCATATTTGAGGGTTTTTTTATTTTTGAGTATTCCCATTTGGATATTGCCTTGAAGTGACAAGTAATCAGATTAGTAATGCTAAAGGACATTCTAGCCTACAGAAATGTACAGTTTTGTTAGGCGGTAAACGGCGTAAATCCCTCTTCATAAAACTATTTTTAATCTCTAAAACACCTCGTGCAGATATGGGATTATTAATATGTCTTGGTAAGTCTAATCTACAATCTCCTGGAGCAAGTCAAAAGATGAAATAGATAATCTGGCACTTTTTTTCCCCTTCTCTGTCTTTCTTAAAACGTATCTTTTTAAAAATATAATGTGGAAATATTTGATACATGCTTCACAAGAACCTACACATGCCATTTTGCTAAAAGCCTCTGAGTTTTTATAATGTTGTTCAGTGTCTAATGGTTTAAAAAAGAGCCATTATCATATTTGGACTTTCGACATAGCGGCAAGACCATTAACCAGCTCTAACCCCTTCTATACCTTGGGGACGATGATGAGGCACTGCGTGACGGTGGTGGCGATGATGACTACGAGGGAGGTGAGGCAGTAGTTGAGGCTGACCTGGTCCCCCATTGCCATAGAAACCGTCACACCCAGAACGCTGAGGACGACTACGTTGTAGATGCAGATGCCGATCATCTTGGAATCGTTCAGGCCTTCAATTTTCACCTTGAGTAACGAAAATACTGTAAATGAGCGGGGTATTTACTTGGTGATGTAGTATTTTTTGCTTGGATTTAAGAAAGCAACTTCAAACATATTTCAATGAAATAAAAATACTTACAATTTAATTTTCATTCCTTGCAAGTCCTCATTTGTATTTAATCATCTTCTTTTTATACTGAACAACATTAGAAACGCACCACACTTAAATGCACCGACGATGCTCAGATATCATGGGTACATTTCAGTCTGACGGGGATATTTCTTATTATATGGGTGGTGCATTTCTAATGTTTTTCAGTATATATAAGAAGGCAGAGTACAACATCTTTTAAGGGACGTGATCTTTCACTGTATTCTTCAGGATCCTATCTGGATGAACGGGGTTTCATTGGATACATCAACGTCACGTCTGGATTAACGAGGTTTTAACTGGTTCATAACCGTCATATCTGGTTGAGAAAGGTTTCGCTTTGCGAAATTATATTTACGTTTATCTATTTAGATAAAATAGGATAACTTTATTCTAGGACTAAATGACTAAACTGATGTCACCCTATGTCCGAGAAACCTAGAACTCGGTTAACTGGTTGCACCCTTTGCATGTGTAGGTCAAGATAATGGTACATTTCATCTGGACGAAAACCTTGGTCAGGAGTGTTCAGGGTGGGTCTAAGTGAATATGGTTTTACCCGACTTTACGTTTACAAATACCTAACTTTGTTACCCGACCGTCCGAAATAGTTCCAAGGAATATATTTATATACGGAACATGTGTGAGCGCGTGCCTGCGTGCGCGCGCGCGTGTATGTATGCCTGCATATTGTGGAAGAAAATAGGACCAAAGATCTACAAATGAGTGCACCAATGGCGTTTCACATTTCAGTGGGAAAAAAAGCGAAATTATGAAGTATTTTTCGAGTTCACTGAGTTAGGATCCATTACGATGATCCAAAACACAATTGATCCACTTCCAGCACGCTTTTTCTTCCTGTCACTCGGTATAAAGAGCCGGTATTGATCTCTCCCTCAAAGTTTATATGATCCATCCCTTCTAACTGTTTTACTCCCGTCTCAGTCACTGACAGCGATGGCACAGCTGTTCCGCCCAACAAGACGGTACTTACTTTCCCTGATGAAGTCGTTGTGGTAATCGACGTTGTGGTAATCGACGTTCCATTACCCCATGTCTCAAGTAATCGTTTTCACAAATATTCAATGTTTTTTTCGTGAGACCCATATGTGTGGTGTTTGTATGTTTTTAAGGTTTTTTATGCGTCCATTCATCTGGACCTCTTGTGAGCTCCACAGGGACTTAATCGATATGCCTGGGATAATTACCAGGATTTGGTAAAGGTCATTCCATAAACTGCTAGAAAAGAAAGCATACACGCATCTTTAATGGTGTCTATAAATGATCCGTATAAAAACGGTTATATTCTTTCGATAATGATGTGTTTCAAACCTGGTTTGTCACTATGTTGTGACCTCTCGTTGTAGTGTTGTAGTGATGTTTGGCCTTGTAACGTTTTGATGACGTCCGTAATTGTCTTTCTATAATACCCATAAATCTCTGTTTACCTGTGAAAAATATTTATCATTGAACATAAGTAATAAGTGCAAGCGTCTGTTCACATTATTTAGATCAGGATGTTATGCACTAGGTATTTAATATATTAGTAGAGGCATTGCCTCTTGTCATGATGATATTGTGTTATGTAAACACTGTAAAAGTATTGAGGATGAAATCCATATTGTTTATATTTGTAAACGCTATGAGGATATGCGTCGGTGTTACATTCCGAAAACGGTCCATGGATATTACTATTCTCTCCACAGCATATGTACATGAATAGACATTAACATCATAACTAATTTTGTCAAGTTCTTAGAACATGTCTATTCTGCTCCTGTTAACGTTGTTGTGTGAAAATCACTATTGTACCACCTTGTACGATGGGTCGTATGGCCTTTATAAAAATAAACCCTTCTTCTTCTCCTTCTTAATGTTTGGGTTAAATCCAATTTTAAAATGTAAGCCGAAAAGACTGAACAGTGTGTCTTACATACAATATCCTATCACCCGGGCGTTATGAACTCTGTGCTATCTAACATTGCTACCCCACCGACTAACAACAGCGGAGTCAGATATAGTTTGGAGAATCCCATATAAGGAAAAGACTCACATCTAGTGGGTAATAGCTGGATTGAGAGTACAGTAAACTGAGCACTGATCCGATCAAGATTGTTACGCGAAATAGCAAGCCTCGACCTGAGATTTTTGTTTTGTTTTGGTTTGTTTTTTTTTGCTTGTTTGTTTATATTGTTGTTGTTGCTGCTTCTGTTTCTGTAGTGTATTACGCCGCACTCAGCAATATTCCAGCTATATGGCGGCAGTCTGTAATTAATCAAGTCTGGACCAGACAATCCAGTGATCAACAGCATGAGCATCGATCTACGCAAATGGGATACGATGACATGTGTCAACCAAGTCAGCGAGCCTGACCACCCAATCCCGTTAGTCGCCTCTTACAACAAGCATAGGTTCTAACCCGGATCTTCACGGCTCTGCTGTTTCTTTACCATGGATGTGGCGCAAAGGGAACTTTATCCCCGTCACTACTGTAGTTATATCAGTTATATATGAGATAATCCACCTCCATGACTAGGGTAGTAGAAATGCAGAAGCTTGTACACAGTATGAGGTGTGCACGAATGATTCTTTTGAAGACAAGTGTGTACCAAATTACACACATAGAACTAAAATGAGACGTAAACATGTTTCCTGAAAACACGTAATAGAACATATGTTTACCATTGTGATGAATAAAAAGAGAATAAGATATCATTTATATTTAGCTTTGACTACATTCTCCGACCACAGGCAAACTGTAGCGCAAACAGGGTTTGAAAAGAGAAAATGACCAGGCTTCGTATATGCGAGCAAAGCGAGCAAGGTCGCTTCGCGCGCATATACGAAGACTGGTCATTTTCTCTTTGTTGCGCAACTCTGTTTGCGCTACAGTTTGCCTGTGCTCCGACCATCCAGTATGTATGTTCTTTTATTTCTTCCCGTCAGTAAAGTGTGACTGAACTGCCTACCTTCCGTGTCTCCCAAGCCAGGAAGGTCCCCAGGAGCAGCAAGATCCCCTGTATACCGAACAGTGTGGCTGAGAAGTAGAGTTGGTTTCTCGACTCACACGTCTCCACATAAGCCCGGGTCTCTCGGTCATTAGCCTCGTCTCGCTGCAACCACACGCCCGAAATCGTGGAACCTTTATAGTTTCCAAATATTTTTCTAAATCTTTAAAAGCACTCAAAAGAATGTCTTCACAATTATTCATAAGCGGGGTGAGAGCAACCTTTATCCAAGAAGAGAACACCATCACTGGGTATGTTCAGACAATGGCGAAGTACTTTTGCAAAATAACCTTGAGCACGATGGGACCAAGAGCTTGAACGTATTTATTTATTGCAGATTACTGAAGGTTCGGGTCAACTTTATAGAAAGGATCTGAGGTTTTATGCACCTGAACATCCGAATTCTGAAATGTCCCAATTAACGGGTTTCGGATTAACAGGTGTCCGCTGCATATTTAGGTCAGACTACAACTGGCATGTTCCACGAATTGTCCCACGAGAAGCAAGGGGCGCTTTCAGTTGGTCCTTCACATAACAAGGAGACCATCATTCTCTTCCCCAGAGGCTGCTTGTCATATCTTCCTGCGAACGTAGGAAGATATGACAAGTAACCTCTGTGGGAAGAAAATGGGAGACCACTGCCGTTGTGGAATAGATCCAGCATCTGCTCGGAGAGCGGAAAGTCTGTGTTTCGATTCCCAGCAGCCCCAAACCAACGTAAAAGATGGTTCCAGTTCTGACTCTCCATGACGTATAGCATCGAACACGTAGCCAGAAAGTTGGATCTCAACTTGGATATCCGTGTTGAACTGTAACCTGGCATAAGGTGCCCTTACACAAAGTAATCTTATAGCTACGACAGTCGTAATTCTATGCTAAGATATGGGGTTTGAGGTCACCTTAACGATAAAGATCGTTTTGTACAACGGCAGCCAGCAAAATAAAACCCGGGCTCGTACAACCGCGTACGCACACGCACACGCACACGCACACGCACACGCACACGTCGCTATGCATCCCAATCGTTATCTGTGTGCACTGATTTTGAACGTAACGTTTTTCACACACCACATAACCAAGAGAAGATCGCATTTAAATATCTATATCGTACTACCCTCAATGTGGCGACCAGGGATATCCCTACCTGGGGTATGGAGTCCTTATTGACGACGGCAACAGGGTCGACAAGGACCCACACGACGACCACGGTGGAGTTGAGTCCCACAAGGGCGCCTACCATCACGAACAGCTGAGTGTCGGTCAAAATCTGTTGAGATACAATGGTTCTTTAAACACTTTCTAAAGTTATTGTCTCAAAGCAGCTCTTCTACATGCAATGCTTTATTTATCCCCAGCACGCAGATAGGACGTTAACAACACCAAAACAGGTTAAATGAGGGGCAAAAGAAAATATACTGAGTTTGGTTTTCATGTAAATGAAATTGAATAAAAACTGTTAAAGTTCATAAACTTTTATAGAGTGCAACTGGGTAATTTGTGCATTTGTAAAGTGGTTCAATCAGGAATTTTGGTAATTTTAATCACATTTCAATGTGTGAATCGCATTTCTGGTGTCCCCCGCCGTGATATTGCAGGGATATTGCTAAAGGCGGAATCTTGGATCAGCAATTTCAGATACAGACTGTCAGTTAGACTTGCATTCAGTGTACCAGCGTTCTTTGTACATTCCAACAATGTATTGCATCTTCCTTAGTCGTTATTTCCATGCCTCCGTTTACCATTTTACTACCCTTGACCTCCGAGGAGGTCACTACATCACCTGAGCTGAAATAATTGTATACCTTTTTCTGTTTGGTGGCGTTAGTGAAGATGTAGTGTACTCGCCAGGTTTTAGCAAACAGGGCCCCAAACGCGAACGAGAACCCGATGACCAACAGCAGAACTTTAACCTGTTTGGTATAAAATAGTTTATAATATGTGAAACCGATTATATATGTCTGAAATATATAATCTGGAACATATTTTAATATAAATCGAAAGCGATAATTGTTAAGAAAGTTATTGCTAACAATTTAAGGTAATGAGCGAGTATTGTTTTAAGGTCACATTTGAATAGTATGCCAGTTATATAACGGTGGTCTGTTTAATGTGGGTGGAAAGCCCGAAGTGTTGCAGGTCTCATATGTTTACCTCGTACATGACGGGCGGTGGGGTAGCCTAGTGGTTAAAGCGTTTGCTCGTCACGCCGAAGAACCGGGTTCGATTCCCCACATGGGTACAATGTGTGAAGCCCATTTCTGGTGTCCCCCGCCGTGATATTGCTGGAATATTGCTAAAAGCGGCGTAAAACAATACTCACTCACTCGTACATGACAAACATTATCGGGGCGTACAGGGCTTTGAAACCACAATCACAGGTTTCTGGAGGGCCCAAGGGACGCAACTCTGCGCAGCGAAACGCCGCCATTATTAAAGAGCTCTGCTAAAAGTTAAGTCTGTTGTAGTATTGCGACTATTTCATAAGCATGTATTGCGATCAAATAGGACTGCTACCAGTTGTTCACGCAAAGGAACGGTGTCCAAGCGATAGCTTCCATCACAAACACGCCTTTATGGTGAAATTATGAACTAACTGACCGTTATTTAAATATCTGAAAGTTTCACTTTTTTAAATCAACAACGTGCCTCCGTAAAACTGTATGTGTTTAAGGTTGTGAAAAAACACGAATGAAGTGCACTTTTCGGATGGGGATCGAAGTCATGTCATTTATTAGCAATAGCTTTTCCATTTCTTTTAACAGCTACACTCGGAAATTTTCAAAATATATGACGAAGGCCTATAAATAATCGAGTCAGGAACAGACAGTTCAGAGATCGATATTGAGAGACACTACCCATGGGGCACTAGGACACATTATAATCTCATTAAAACCATATCTTATATCTCATACGTTACAGATGCCAGAAAGATCTGATTTACGGAGACTGGGACAGGATATTAACCAAATCACCGGCCCTGACCACCGGATGTATATCATTTGCGACCGAATTTTAAAGCGAGAAAACAATGGCCCTTATCAGCCACCATAGTTTCCTCCTGCAAGACTAATCTAGGTTGCAGCTGGTCGTCTCATTCTGAATCCCCTCAAGGGTAGCAATCCCTGATCTGATAAAGCTTTAGGGGGAGATTGTTTGTATAATAATGTACATATATCTGAAAACCGTAGCTTGCCTTGCAGATGTCACCGACGACGGTCGATGTCATGTCGTAAAGAAAGACGGTGACGTAGAGGAGGAGGCAGCCAATGAGGATGAGGTTGTTAAGACGCGGGGACGACATCTTCACGATTCTGGCAACACAATAAACATGTATTGATGTTTTCCTAGTGCTGAATTGACAGAAAGGGGCGTGGAGGGATAGGGGGAAGTGGGGTGGCTTCTACATGTGAAGGGAATGTTTGGCTAACTGGGCATTCCACGTGCGGAAACACATAAGATAATAGTATCTATACTATATTATAGATGTATCTTCAGATATCAATGTTTGTGTGAACCGCCTGTGTACAGTGCCATCTGTGCTTGTCTTCAGCGTATTGTGATCAATACATCATTGATTCTGATTTGTTTTTTTCGGATCCAGATTCAAGTTTATCGATCAGGCTTCTCGCATCGATAACATGATCTATTATATACTGTTATAAACTTGTGGATGTTCCATAAAAAGGTCACAACTATCGATATTTTATATATTTAAAATGAGATAAATATTTTAACAGAGACATTTGACTGAGATTTGCATTAGTCGTTGAACCTGAATACCTGACACGTTTTATGAATAACAAATTCTTTTTACGGCGTTTCAGAGCTAATTCTTGCTGCTTCATCAGGTTAATGCTGAGTCAGTGCGCAGAGTGAATATATACACACAAAATATGTTTACACAACGCAAGGTGGGAGAATGTATGTAGTATAAAGAATTTTAAAAAGTTGTTATCCATAAAAACATGCCACGTATTCGTGTTCGTCCAACTGCTAAATGCCTTTCAAGAACTTCTATAATCACCAAAGATTTTGATAGATGACTGGCCAAAGCGGCATATTGTCCACCACGTCTTTTACAAAGAATGGTCAAGACCCCGTACATCCGCCTGTGTTCTCAAGACAATACTGAATTCAACGAGGCATGCACATAATCAAGCGACCATTGTCAACTTGGTTCATTCTATCCAGAGACCATATACCGATATATGGTATATGGTCTCTGATTCTATCTCATTCTTCCTTCAGGGCAGCGCCATGTGCGTTGACATTTGTCTGTGGACGTAGTCCAAGGATAATACATAAAGATGTTCTGTCAGTAACAGTGACCCCCACCCCACAGCATTATTGCATCAAAACGATCGTTCTGTCTAACTGCTTCTGTTCTGTATCATAAAAGATGTTCTATTCGGCGACGAAAACATCGCGCTGACCTAACGAGACTCTGTTGCGCATGAACATCAACGACGTCTTGTAGTGATGTGACGGTCCGAAGTCGTGGGATAACCCGTGGACGTCGGGCGTCGGCGGGCAGGTCTCATCTGTGGAGCCGATGACGAATTGTCTGTCCACTATTTAACAACTGTGGCTCTGTGAAGTTCATCTCCAGTTCATTTGACCATAGGTTTGTAGCGCAGTCGTGCAAATGAAACGGTTGTGTGCACGGTTGTCGCACTTGGTCGACCAGATCGGCATCTGTCATCGGTTTCTGTTGATATCGTGATTTTAATGTTCTAATTACTAACCGTGAAGCGTTAAGAGTTCGTGTCACAATGCTGTCTGGCCCAACTTCCAAGATGCCAATTGCACGTAGTCGTTCCTGGCGTGACAGACTCGTTACAAAAGGTTGAATAGGGCCCGTAAATAGTTCGCGGCACTTCGCGAGACTTTAGTACTTCCGGTGACAAACAACATTTCATACCTTTTCGAATGGTCTCATATTTACAAGTTGACAGTAAGGAACCGACAATCCTTGCAGGAATAACAAAATAAATTTTCTATCAAATCATCCACAAATTAGCTAACTATTACGACTATCAACAGCTGTGACAGCCAAGCATGTTTGTACACTTGGTCCGGTCTAGTAAAGTCATATTTGGAACCAGAACTGGTTCTTCATTATACGCTTGTCACCGGATATCCCGTACTGGAAGTAAGCTGGGCCCCGTCTCGCATATCGCAAGTTGGCGCGTGCAAAGGGAGCCGGGAGCCGGGAACCAGCTTACCTCGCGAGACTTAAGCCTATCGAATGAAAAAACAATATCCGTACAAATATCTAGTTTTTATCACTGAAATGTACAGCGACACAATGACACGTTTCATTTTAAATTTCGATTTTTAACCCAAACGTGTTTAGGTGCACATCATAAAAAAGCTTACACGAGATTGTCGTGTTAATACGAAATTCATAGCACGTTGAGAATGAAATAATCATTCTGTAAATGCATAAACAATCATACAACTTGGTTCCCATATAATATCACCCTAAATGGAATAACCCCTTATTCTTTTATTAGACTCATAATATCGTTTATGTTGGTGTGGAATAAGTAAGAACATCGCATTATATTACAAGTCGTAATCACTCTCTATTATATATTTCTTTCATATGTGATTAAAGGTACTGACTTAATTTTCCGGAAGTGAATGTTGAATGCCAGAAAGAGGCAGCTGAGAACGATGCCCAGTCCGGCCAGTGCGCACATACAGATGTACATGGAGAGGGGAAGACGTTCCAGCTTCCTGATCACCTGGACCGAGTCTTTCGGTACCTTGTTACCTGCGGGGTAGATCACAAAATATACTGAAGTACAAAAAAAGTACACACCCTTACTTATATATACCCTTTCATACCCTTTACTGATATGCCCATTTCGGATGTCCCCCGCCGTGATATTGCTGGAATATTGCTAAAAGCGGCGTAAAACCATACTCACTCACTCACTCACTTTACTGATATGACGTTTTAGTGATATGTTTTACTTTTTATGCTATTTGCAAGATATTGATACTTTATATGTAAACTGTCGGTTTAAAATTACTTGAAAACTGAATTTGACAAATTAAAAAAGCTTCATGAAACCATTTCTATGCCGAAACCAGACGCTGATCATAAGGTCCGACAACAACTATGATTCTCATATCAAATACTTCACAATCGAATAAGCATTTCATTGCAACGTCTCTTCGGGAGGGTAGACATTTATTGTCTGGTGGATTACATTTTAACCAATCATTTAGTAATTATTTTAATCAAATAACGCAGCTTCGATGCCAAATTTCAGGTCAGGATTTGACAGTTTACATCCTGTGAATAAATATAGAGAAAAATAATTGTCGCAGGAGATGTTTATTGCTCCAAAATTATTCAATCAAACAAATATTGTCGCACGAGTTGATTTTTTACCAAAACAAGTTTAGCCTTATTAATGAAGTATGCGGTTTTGCAGATGTAGCAGAAGGTATCAGTGGGTTTTTTTCATATTTTCTATTAATATTTACAACAGCAGATCCACATGGGTACAATATGTGCAGCCCATTTCTGGTGTCCCTCGCCTTGATATTGCTGGAATATTGCTAAAATTGGTGTAAAACCCAAATCACTCACTCCAACATTATTAAACCAGCTGTGTTTTTTTCATATCGCGTCTCACGATCTGAGATGCTCCCTGTACCCTGTTGCATAACTCCCACCTGCCATCACTCAGGAATCACATGTTATTTGATTGATATCATAGACCTCAAGGCACAAGTTATCACTTAGTGAGGTGAGGTGAAATTGGGTTTTACGTCGTGCTTGAGAATATTTCGCTTATGACGACGTGCATGCGTGTGTATGTGTATGTGCGGCTGCTTGTACTAGCCCAGACTGAAGCTAGTTTTATAGTGCTAGCCCACTGAGATACCATGCCGCAGTGAAGCATGAATACCCCACTCAGACACATTATACTGACTCCGAGCCGACCAGTCTTTGTTGTACCCATTAAAGCCGAGCGCCAGGCAGGGACCAACAAGTACCATATTTTAACGTCTTTTGGTATGACGCGGTTGGGGATCGAACCCGCGACCTTCCGCTCTAACCACTACACCACGAAGGCGGTTAGTTATCACTTATTACATATGAGTAGCCATTGTCGTGACATCTGTGATCAGACGAGGAAAGTGTATTGAACTGACATCTACTGGCAATATATGCCCTCGAGATATTGACACCGAGCTAACGATGTTTATACGGGTATTATGTAGCAAAGTTCCTGATGGTTAATGAGTGAAACACCTACAAGCGTAACAATCACAATGCTGACAAAGTGTATTTGCTAAAATATAATTGGGTGTCATGTCATTGTCACGAGGGCGGGAACATGCATCACGCAACTTTGTAATTAAAGCAAGATTTGTTTGTAAGAGAAAGTTTATGAAGACACAACACATTAATAAGAAATACGGGAACAATAGCATTCGATTATACAAACGACAAAACCCATTTCTCAATGGTAAGAAATCATTACTAGAATCTATTGTACTGATATTGTATTGCGTCTATTGTACGATACCGACATCCTCGGCTCTCACAAAATATATCTTTCCAGATGCATAGATGAAGGATCATGATAGAATGCCCTTGCCTTAACCTAGCTGCCAAATGGTTGCCTTATCACTGGGTTTACAGATAGTACTTATTATGAAGAGCCAAGTCGTGTCTTCAGTAACCCAAGCCGACGCTTCTGCTTGGCGAGCATGTCTTTACTATAATTCATACAGTTAAACACACTAAATATAAAGAAATCAGGTTATTTTATAAGTTAGTAATGGCATTTGTGTCTGGTTTCAGGAAACAACATGCATATCTAGATGAATAAACGGAACAGACTAACGTCCGGTAGATTTTCTGAATAGAGAAATGGAACAGACTGAATAAGGTGGTGAGTTTCATAGATACTTCAATGCGATATTTACTTCTTTATGAGGGTGAGGTGAAATGAGGTTTAACGGTGCGTTGTGGAACGTTGAGCTTATAGAGAATATTTTGCTCATATGACGACGTGCATGCGTAACTGTGTATGTGTCTCTGCGGCATGCTTTGTCTTAGCCCTGACTTAAAGCTGGATTTATAGTGCTAGCACATCCAGATACCATGCCGCAGTGAAGCATGGATACCCCACTCAGACACAGTATGCTGACCCGAGGCAACATTTCTTGATCTAATGCCTAGCGTCAGGCAGAGTAACAACAAGTACCATTTTGTACTGTATTCATGTTTGATGCGGCTGGACATGAAATCCACATCTCTCGCTCTCCACGCTGACTTTCCGTCCACTAAAACACTGGTTTGGCCTTCAATACGCTACATTTACAAAGTAACAACCTTGGTGGAAGGCGATAAAGAGATAGACTTCATGCAGGTATACGGTACCATGCCAATTGACGGGAGCAGAGTCGACCAGCCACTCGATCTTGACGTCAGTCTGGAGGTTGGCGTCGTACAGCCCCACCATGTCGATCTTATTGTCTGAAATATGAAACATGGTCTGAGGACACTTCACTCACGGATCACGGCTAAAACAGATCGCGCAAACAGTCAAACACAAAGTGTCATTTGTGCTAACAGTGTCGAGAAGCATTAAATAGGAAAAAGGCTGTGATGTTGCCTTAAAAATATAAGAGTAAAGTAGATTTAAGTTATTAAATGGACATATTAAAACACGCTACCAAATGAAATCCATTAACTAATTGCATACTGAGGTTGCTCGGCCGCTTTTAGTCGGCAAGATTCGCGTGTATATTTCCGGGGCATTCATGACCCAGCAATGATGTACTTGGGAGGCCAATAAAATCGGATAAGGCTTGCAGATTTCAATTTAAAAAAAGTAAATAGTCTACGCACATACACACATGCATACATACACACATAACTCAGAGATACACACGCACATGCACAGGCACACACACATACACTAATGCATGTGCGTATCCATGCATGTACACACACACACACACACACACACACACACACACACACACACACACACATACACACACACATACATACATACATACATACATACATACATACATACATACATACATACATACATACATACATACATACATACATACATACATACATTCGACACGCAAGAAGGTCATTTAAGTTATGTCCGGCTACATTAGACAAACGGTATGGAAGTCATATTCGCAAAACCACTTACTCTGAAGCCTGTCTACGCGGTACAGTGAAATCATGTCCCCCTTATCGTTGAACCTGAAATGCCCCCTGACCCCCAGGAACTCGACTCTCCTCGTGTTGTCCAGCAGCAGCATACCCATGTCGTCATCGGAGTAGTCAAAGTCTTCCAGTCCTTTGCTGCTACCTGAAGAACACCGTAGCAGATGTCGTTGGCATGTGGTGTCATTGCGAGTAGGAATAGTCGTCCTTGTTAACATTGTTTGAGTGGCATTTTAGAAGTTGAGACATGCAATATAGACAAACTTTATGGATAACAACTTCTTTATTTCGTGAGTGCGACATTTCGATACAGATTCTTGTACCGTTGTAGGAATTCCTGCTAGACAACGGTACAAGAATCTGTATCGAAACGTCGCACACACGAAATACAGAAGTTGTTATCCATAAAGTTTGTTCTATATTTTGTTAACAATATAAAGAAGGTGGATTGAAATAGGACATTTGTTTCTGTTTTAAAAATATTTACCACTTCTACATATTTAATTCACCATGGCAACTCAAAGGAACAGTCATCACTCAGTCTGGAAGATAGTGAGATCTTATTTAGTTTGGGCATCAGATTTGTGTATTCTCAAATAAGCAGTTAACGGGAAAACACGAACAACGACAGCAGTTTTCAGTGTAATTTTACAATTTTGTAATCTTGTTTTAAATTATAGTTAAACATCATGGCAATGTGAGCGAATTATCATTTTGCAGCTGTTGGAGGGGCGACGTAAATATGAAGTCAATGAAAGTGGGCGAAATCTTCTCATTTTGCTTGTTTGCTTTTAGCTAGTTTAAAAGGGAGTACTAGGCAGATACCGTGTACATGTGCAGTGGCTTTACTCACCGCAAACGGGATCGGGTAGTCAGACTCGCTGACCTGGTTGACATATGTCATCGTATCCCAGTTGCGTAGATTGGTGCTCATGCTGATGATCACTGGATTGTCTGGTCCAGACTCGATTATTTACACCGCCGCCATATAGCTGGAATATTGCTGAGTGCGGCGTAAAGCTAAACTCTTGAGATCCGTAAGAGTACCATACCGTGTAATTGCTATACGCACCGTTATGTTTGAGATCTTGACCTGGTTGACATATGTCATCGTATCCCAGTTGCGTAGATTGATGCTCATGCTGTTGATCACTAGATTGTCTGGTCCAGACTCGATTATTCACAAACCGCCGCCATAAAGCTGGAATATTGCTGAGTGCTGCGTAAAACTAAACTCTCTCACTCACTCCATGAGAGTACCATACCGTTTAGTTGCTATACACACCGTTATTCTTGAGATCCGTGAGAGTACCATACCGTGTAGTTGATATACACACCGTTATTCTTGAGATCCGTGAGAGTGCGATACCGTGTAGTTGCTATACACACCGTTATTCTTGAGATCCGTGAGAGTGCCATTCAGTGCCAGGCATATCGCCCAGATCGTATCGTAGGTCATGGGACCATAGCGGAGACCGGGCATGTCGGGGGTCGTTCTGGAAGCATACTGGTCCAGGAACTCCTTAGGGGTGAGACCAGACAACGCCTTCTCACCCCGGGGGTTCTGGTAGATCCTGTCAACAGCCCAATACCCCTCGACAGCTTCAGCCAACTGTTCCACCGTGCAATCAATCAACGGGTTGTCCACCTTCCACCATTCTGTCTCGTACCACCCGTTGACCACCCACACGACCTTGGGGCCATACAGTCCCACCTTGTACGCCTGAGTATAATGTAAAAGGTGGATTGTGAATGTATTCAACGAGGAACCAGAAGGTTCACATGAGAATCACGATTATCAGTTTGTATTATAAAGGTTATAATACAACAAAGAGGGTAAACATTTTCGTGTTAAATGTAACTGTATCATATCTACATCCAAATGCACCATCACATATTACTGTGTCGGTATCTGTATGGTAAAACAAATCTATTTCCCAAACGTTTTTCTTTACTTATAATCATCGGAAAACTGGATTTTATCGATCACTTGATTGTCTAGTTTGTTTACAGGCCTCCGTCGCATGGTAACAATACCAATAAGAAAACAACAATACCATTTTTAGACAAACACCTGGTGCCGTCACTGACTTTCGGTGATCCATTCATATAATTTCCCAACTAGTTTATCCTGTATGCCAAACGGAATGTGCTTTAGAATAGCCCTGACTAGGTATTCTTTACCACTGACGTTCTATATATACTACAAATGTTGTAACATGCAATCGTACCACCAAGTCTCTTATTGGAAAGATTACAAGGCTACGCTCGCTTTGCGCAACTAAACCCAGGATAATATTCTAACTACTGACCAAAACAACAATATTGTGTGTTTATTTATATCACGCATCATATATTTACCTTTCCCAGAAAGGCGTTACATCATGAAAGGGGTAAGCATAATTATTTGTTTTTAGAAACATTTGTTAAAGTCACAAAAACATTAACGTGCAGTTGTACTCACATGACAAAATACTTGCTGGGCCATATCTGCATAAAAACTGCCAACAATTATTCGGACGTCATTTGTCTGAAATAAGCAAAGATATGGAATTCTAGGCGTGGAAGTCGTGTTTGGGAGGTATTACATGCCTGCATGTGTGTTACTGTAAGCTTATTGTACGTGTATTGGAAAAGGAAATGAAAACATAGTCGATATACCACGACTCGCTTGATTTGTAATGAACAATTCTGGACCATTTGAAGTGGTAAACACGAAACTGCATATTTCCATTGGGGACACATAACGAGTACATTGTTGCGTATCTTGCTGAACTGTGATAGCTGAAAGGTGGAAATTTATGGATGTCAATTTCTTGGAAGGAACATGACGTTTGGGACTATATTCATACGCCTCATCTGTGACATTCCATCGTACACATGATTTGCCTATTATGAGGAACACAAAGTTTCGTTGTATATTCTCACGTCATCAGGTGATAATGAATGAGTAAGTATATCCCCCGAAATGTCGTGTTCTCTATAATAAAGAAGTTGACGTCAATAAATTTTTACCATTTTCATCATTTCCGTTCAAAAGGACTTTGTGATTTATGGATGAAACTCTAGGAGTTAAGTTAACTCGAGATGGAGTGCCGTGGAGAAGGCAAGACAATTATTTCTACCTTGAGATTCTCCACCTGTATTTGGGGAGTGCTGCTGATGATCTCAGACCTAACGATGGTGATGTTGGCCGCCTTCATGCGTTTGATCAGGTCAGCAATTGGCTGGATGGGAAGAATAACAATAAGTTAACACTCGATAAAGTACATGAGAGCTGACAAGAGGAATTTCGTTCCTGACATTATCGTCCGGGTAGTCATGTTTTTAGTAATGATTCCCAAACAAACTAGGAGTTTCACATAATAAACAATGTCACCCAAAACAAGGTCCTGTCATCTATCACAACATCAGGAAAAACATCTGACAGTGAATTGGGTATCTGTTACTAATAGGTGCGGTGCAGCCAAGTAGTTATAGCGTTGACTGACATAGGTACTATTTGTGAAGGCCAGTCCTTGTGTTTCATCGTTATATTGACGGAATGCTGCGAAAAAGTTACATCTACCAAAAACAAGTTCGTGGATTTAAAATAAGGGGAATCTAAGTAAACAGTTCATTACTTGCCAATCTGGCAGAAAAAAATATATGCACCCATAGTTGAAATACACGGTTGAATACGGGTTGAAGTTGTGTTTGGGACCTTAAGACTATAGCGTTTCGTGAATTGTTTTCCGTAGGAACGATTTTATAACATTTGTAATTTCTTGGTAAAATTAAGTTTTCAAGTGTATAGTTTACCCGTTAGCTAAGGTATGAAATAAGTTCTTTTTTTTGTTGGGTGACATCTTATAGCGGCAAATTACCACTGTCAGAGTTGACAGCTAACAATGGAGGATCCGGTATCACAACATTCTAGACAGCTAAATCCTGCTGCAGATTGTGTATGTTTGGCATTTAAATTCCGACACTGGACACAAAACAGAACTAGTTCATATATTTTAAAACATAAAACTATCTGTGCAAATCTTTCAGTTTTGAAACTCACCGCCGAGAACAGCTCATACGATTGGTGAATTGTTGCAATACTCGACCAACCGAACTGCTTGAAAATGTCGACAATGGCAGGATTGACATCTACATCCGGGGTATTTGCACGGAAAAAACGTGGAAAGCGAGTCTTGTCTGATAGAGCCGGTGACACCGATATATAGGACATCTGGAAAGATGAAAATATTGGGAAACTGACTGAAGTTGCACAAGAAATCTAAATTTATAGACTATCTTATAACATTATATAACATGTATTTATATTGATATAAAGCATTTGAAACACTGTTCTGAAAACCAGAGATATGTTTGTTCATAAATAAATAGTGTTCTATTCTTGTAACTCGTACACTTGATGTTCATTACCAATGTAAGTTTATTTAAGCAACCGTTTCAAGTGTTTGCTAACAACTGTTTGATGTAGCTTTAACAAGTGAAGGTCTTTACGGACTTTGATATTCCAGTTCAATGAAAGCCGACCACAATGGCATCAAAAGAGTACAGAGAGGACTGCATACACTATACGCCATCTGTTGACCCAGTTAACAAGCTTGACCATTCGGTCCATTAACGTAAGATGTAGTAAGGAGATTCATTGTAGTATGATGTTGACAAGAAACGACTGGTATCAAGTAATTTCATGTGAATGAGTACCATAACTTTCTGGATGGGCGTAACCAGGTCATAGTATGGCATAACATAGCACATGATGTTGCCGAGCAATTATTGTTATCAAGTAAGTTAATCTGAATGCCTACTATATATTTCTGGATGGGCGTAACCAGGTCATAGTAGGGCATAACATAGCACATGATGTTGCCGAGCAATTATTGTTATCAAGTAAGTTAATCTGAATGCCTGCTATATATTTCTGGACGGGCGTAACCAAGTTAATCTGAATGCCCACTATATATTTCTGGATGGACTTAACCAGGTCATAGTATGGCATAACATAGCACATGATGTTGCCGAGCAATTATTGTTATCAAGTAAGTTAATCTGAATGCCTACTATATATTTCTGGATGGACTTAACCAGGTCATAGTATGGCATAACATAGCACATGATAATAACATAGCACACGATGTTGGCAGGCAATGACTTGTATCAAGTAAATTCATCTGGATGACTACCATAAATTTCTGGATGGGCGTAACCAGGTCAAAATGTGGAATAACATAGCACATGATGTTGACAAACAATGAACTGGTATCATGTAAGTTAATCTGAACGCCTACTATACATTTCTGGACGGACTTAACCAGGCCATAGTATGGCATAAAATAGCACATGATGTTAACAAGCAAGAACTGATATTATTATGAAGTAAATTAATCTCAGTGTCTACTATAATTTTCTAGATGAGCTGAACTAGGCAGTGGAAACCCTGATTTAATACTCTGTCAACTATAATGTGTCTACTGTGACATGTGTCTACTATAAAATGTTACTACTGTGACATGTGACTACTATAACATGTGTCTACTGTGACATGTGTCTACTATAAAATGTGTCTACTATGCAACGTGACTACTATAACATGTGTCTAATGTGACATGTGACTAGTATAACGTGTGTCTACTATGCAAGGTGACTACTATAACATGTGTCTACTGTGACATGTGACTACTATCACATGTGTCTACTGTGACATGTGACTACTATAACATGTGTCTACTGTGACATGTGAATACTGTGACGTGTGACTACTGTGACATATGTCTACTATAACATGACCCTACTATAACATGTGTCTACTGTGACATGTGACTACTATAACATGTGACTACTGTTACATGTGACTACTGTGACATGTGACTACTGTGACATGTGACTACCCTACCTGCACCATGTTCCACAGGTGTGAGGCTTGTGCCGTTGCCTGACTCACAATGGAGCATGCGGCTCCTATGATCATCACCTTGGTGGGCGGGGAGATGAGGTTCTTGTACATGATGTCCACGCCGATACCAGGGTCGCACTGACCACAGCAAAAATAGTCGGTCACTTCACAGGACTTACCACCCATAATGATATCAAGCAATTCAATTATAAACCTACAATATATTAATTACAATGTACTTAATTAAGTAGAAACCATAAATAGCTGACAACAGGTACAACAGTTCTGTAAAGGATACACAATAAAAAAAATGATATTTCTATAAAACATAAGTTGTGCCAGAATAATTATCTGAACATATTTTATCCGCACGTCTTGTTGTCAGACTTTTAATTCATCATATCTGCCTGACGTTTTTTGGTTAATCTATATTATGTTCCCTTGACGAAAGTTAATAATATATTGCCTCTCCTCACTTTTCAGGAAGTTAAGGATGTATTCTGAGACGTAATTTCCACAGAACGTAATAATAATCATGTTTTGGGTTTTATATTCTGAGGAAGCTATCAAATTTCTTTGGATAATTATAATTATCTTTAGTCTGGCCTTATGTGAAGATATAAAGGATAGTGCATTTCTTATGCTCGTGATATCAATTGATCTAAAAATATTTCAGCGAAGGCACAAGGGCCTGGTCTGCATGTTACATAAAATATTAGGTCCAGATCTGTGAATTGCATTACTATACACTACATTTCTGCAGTTGTTGTTTATTAACTGCGTGAATTCCTAATTACGGATGTGCACATATTTAACCAACTCTCTTGAAGATGAATTACCGCCTCATAAGTCGATACAAGAATATCATCGGCCTGGCAGGTCCATTATATAATCTCATTATACTGTAATATACGACTCGTAATGATTGGTTGTTTGTTTTTAAGGTATTTTTCTTGTTTTGTGTGTGTTTATTTCTTCTTATTCTATTTTTCGCGGATCACGTGCACGACTAACATGTCCTCAAGAAAGAAATTGATTTGAGAAATGAGGTGTTGCACAAACACTGATATTCTTGTGCAGAAACATATATTCTCCCCAAAAAAGAAACGCATCATGAAAATAGCAGTTTCATGTAGCAATGAATTAAAACGTGATTCATTTTACAAAAGGTTTTGCTCTGTTTATGAGTCCTATGGTGTTTATGTTTTGAAACATCACAACAAAACGCACCATCCGTAAAATACCCGTATTTAATAGCATGATTTTCAATTTCGGCGTGTAGTGTCACAGAATACACAATTCACGTGCAAAGCACGTGAAAGTTGGGGATCAGATAGTCTCAATGATGGGTATAAAAGGTTGATCGCTGTTTGTCGGTTATTCACTGTATTTGGAATATTGTTGACGAACGCAAAATGCCACGTCTAAGTGAAGCCAACCGTCATATCGCCATTGGTTTGCTTGAAGCTGGCCAGTCTCAATGTGCAGTTGCCCGACGCATGAATGTTCACCAAAGCACCATTTCACGGCACCGGGAGAGATATCGCCGGCAGAATGCGGTAGCAGATGCCCCTCGTAGTGGGCGACCTCGAGCGACCACTGCGGCGCAGGATTGCTACATCCGGGTACATCACCTGCGTCATCGAACAGCTACGGCGACCAGGCTGCCGTTCCACTAACCGATCTTATCTAAGATCAATATTAGCAAGTTACGCCAAGTTTACAATCGTCTTAGCTAAAAGTTACACCCGTTCCACTAACCGACCTTAGGCCGATCGTAGCCGGTCCCGATCTTACGATCCGATCCAAGCTTAGATCGAGACTCTTTCGTGCGAGAGATACAGGAATGCGAGGCACGAGTTATCTTCCTTTGCATAGTCTAGCAAATGATAGAAAGTAGTTTACGAAGTGAGTTTAGATTTACGCCGCACTCAGCAATAGTCCAGCTATATGGCGGCGGTCTGTAAATAATCTAGCTAAGATGCATAGCGTTCACTAACATGAGCGTTCATGTTAGTGAACGCTATGTATCTTAGCTATAAATAATCGAGTCTGGACCAGACAATCCAATGATCAACAGCATAAGCATCGATCCGCGCAAATGGGAACCGAAGACATGTGTCAACCAAGTCAGCGAGCCTGACCACCCGATCCCGTTAGTGGCCTCTTACGACAAGCATGGGTTATTGAAGTTCAATATTCTAACCCGGGCCTTCATGGGTATTTTTCCAACCAAGTGTAAACGTGGAGAAAAAACCTAGAGCAAAATATTAGGGTAGTGAGCACCTTGGTTTCAGGTGCAAGTGCGTGTGAACGCTGGGTATCAAGCATAATATAATAATAATAAATGCATATTTATAGTGCGCCTATTCCACATCCTTGGGCATGCTCAAAGCGCTATGTACAGATAATTTACTCGAGAATATTTACAGCCGAGATTATAAGTAATATACAGAGAACAGGTTTTAAGTCTGGACCTTAAAAATGTCAATTGTGTCAGAGCTTTTAATATGTGCCTTAACCTTGTCAATCAGAATAAACAAGGCGTGACGAGGCTATAACGTATGTAGAATCTGTCAGTGGTCTTGAATAACACGCGGCCTGCCTTTAGAATCCCCCACCAAATATGCGCAGTGAAATCAAACATATTTGTATCTTTTTGTTCACTTCAGGGCTGTCCCTATTCTTAACCATGACGTTGCAATACTGTTGTACAAATGTGTTATACCGACACGCTCGGTTGTGTTCCCATGACGACAGTGGTCAGACTGGCCTGACATTTGTAAGGCTTCAGTGCAGTGTTTGTTTACATCACAGAAATATACAAATTCATTTCATGGGGGATTTTAGGGGACGCTCACGGTGAAATGCTCGCTCTTACTTTGCACACAGAATAGGAAAGCTACCATTTTGGTTTCTCTACGATTGATTTTAGCTATCCTAAGTTGGTCATGAGCAACTTAGACTTTGAATCTTAACTTTACGATTGACTTGGGTAAGATTGGTTAGTGGAACGGTATGCCGATCGTAACGTCACGCTAAGATTGGGATTTTAGGGGTTTACGATTCGCGTAGGGCTAAGATCGGTTAGTGGAACGGCACCCAGTACCGCTCGACAAATACCCGGATTGAGAAGGCTTTCTGCACAGACCGTCAGGAACAGGTTGAGTGAGGCTGGTTTACGTGCCAGAAGACCTTATTTTGGCCCTGTGTTTCGACGACAACATCGTCGACATCGAGTTCAATGGTGCACGTACCAACGTTCAGGCCTGGAACCTACCGAATTGGTGTAGAATCTAGTTCAGTGATGAATCACGATTCTATTGGAACGACGCGGTGGAAGAATGCGGGTGTACAGTCGTCGACGTGAACGTTTCTCCGACGCTTGCGTTCCCCAGGTGGACAGATTCGGCCGGTGAAGTGTTATGATGTGGTGAGCGATCACCTGCCGTAGGAGAAGTGATTTGGTGATGAACCAGGGCAACCTGACAGCTCAACGGTACTGTGACGAAATCCTACGCCCACACCTCCTTCCAATCATTGATCGCCAGAGGGAGTTGTTTCAACAGGACAATGCCAGGCCCCACACAGCACGTCACACTAGAGATTTCCTCCAGAGCCACAACATCAATGTGCTCCCCTGGCCCTCCAGATCACCGGACTTAAACCCGATCGAACAGCTGTGGGATGCCCTGGACAGACGGGTGCGACGCCGTAACCCTCAGCCCCAGACACTTCAGCAACTCGCACAGGCACTACAGGCAGAGTGGGCTGCGATTTGGCAACACGAGATTCTGAGACATTCGTTCGATGCCGAGGCGATGCCGTGCAGTTCTGGATGCCCACGGTGGTCACACGAGGTATTGACTTCAGCGCCACCACACGTCGCCATGTGACACTCAAACTGACTTTCCTCGAGTCGGTGCCAAAGACGGATAAGTATTCATTCCCAGTGTGCAATTTCGCTATATTTCATTGACTCATAAAGCCTACAAGATGTTTCAAAATAAACATAAAAATACAGTTGAAATTCCTATATGCGTTTCTTTTTCGGGAGAGTATATTATCGATAATGATCATGAAAATGAAAAAAGACAGATGCGTAGGGGAACATGCAGTCCTTTCGCCTGAAACAAGTGAGTGAGTTTAGTTTTACGCCACACTCAGCAATGTTCTAGCTTTATAGCGGCGGTCTGTAAATAATCAGACAATCCAGTGATCAACAGCATGAGCATCGATCTACACAATTGGGATACGATGACATGTGTCAACCAAGTCAGCGAGCCTGACCACCCGATCCCGTTAGTCACCTCTTACGACAAGCGCATTGTTTGCTGAAGATCAGTTCTATTCCGGATCTTCACGAGTAACGCCTGAAACAAAGACAAATGAGGACGCTCGTTTTGTACCTGTTCATGTCAACCGATGTAAGATAGATGGAGACAGGGAGGTGCTCCAAAGATATAAACTTACCAACACGCTAGTTTTGTTAGAACTAGATGGCACAGCAATGTGACTCGCCATGACTCTCTATGCTGTTGTTGGGTCCCCTGGTCGCACCAGGATCCTCTGAATTCAACTATTACTTCACATTATTTTGTTCTTGGTTTGATAATATTGATTATGTTGCAATACACAGTTCAGGTGTTTATTTATTCAATGACTATCAGGAATATGTATTTATTAGAACGTATCCTATTAAGCGCATCGATGCGTTTTGGACATTTCCGTACATACCATCGCTCGCTGGAGGAGCGGAGGGTATAAACAGTAATGATTTGTGAGTGAGTGAGTTTAGTTTTACGCCGCTTTCACATATTCAAGCAATATCAAGTCGGGTAAACACCAGAAATGGGCTTCACACATTGTACATATGTGAGGAGTCGAACCCGGGTCTTCGGCGTAACGAGCGAACGCTTCAACCACAAGGCTACACTTTCGTCCCAATGAGTTGCAATGATCACATATCAGGCATACAGTGTTTAGGTGAAGAGATATCAGTTATAAACGATTACTGCAAAAGAATAACGCGAAAATTAGCAAACACTTTCCCATGTTACCTAGAGTAGTCATTTCGTTCTCAAAAATAGTTGCGATACCAAGAATCAATATATATTCCTCGTTCCTGTTCAACGAATACACCCAAACAATGTCCGGGATGGACATGTTACGTACATAACGACATTAGGCTTGTACAGTTCCTCCCCAATCCCTTCCACGATGACGCAAGTTTTGGCTTGCAAAATATTTCTCTTTCCTGTTTTGTTTTGATTTGTGAGTTAGTGAGTGTGAAGATGTCTCATGATGTAACATCGTTATTGATTCATTTTGTTAATATAAAATTCCTTTGTCAGATAAACATCTCTTCATCTAATATTTATCCGTCGATTAATGCTGCTTAAACTAACGAAAATATCATCCTTTTATAATCAATAGCACGGCATTCACCACCAACAACTTATACAATTAAACAATATATGAACTTGTGCTCTGGGCTCCAAGGACCTAGAACTCTACTTGATTTAGTATTGATGACTTAATTACTATACAATAATAGCTAATTTTCAAGTCAGACACTGACCAAATGAGGTTACACTGACGAAAGGTGGCAAAATATATACAGACAGCGTTTCATTAAATGCTTTCGGATATTTTGCTGTGAATAAATATATATATAAATGTGTAAACATAAATAAGCTGGTGATGCTGCATGCTTGAAAAATATTCAAACTTGTTTGAAACTTCTCAAAATAAGTACGCTTTTTATCTGTCATAAAAGAGATGCACGTTAAGAATTATTATTTTTAGATGTGGTTTTTTTTCATGACAATTAATAACATTCGGGTGTGTTCTGAAGTTATTTATATTTTTTATATTTTCTTATGTTACAGGGCTGCAAGAGAAAGTAACTGCACCAAAACACTCAGATGTGATATGATATTTTGTTCCAACATCTCTGAACTTATTTTCATTACAAGAATATCCTTTCTTCCACCTATGGTAGTGTGATCTGTTTCATTGGCCTTTTAGAAGTTGATGAATAATAAGAAAGGTATGATACTTTATGGATGAGAAGTTGCAGTGTCATTAAAGCGTTTATTCATAACTTGTGTTATCCAATGACCACAGAGGAAGATTAAGTCTAGCACCAGTAAAACAGTGATTACGAAGGGATATGTGGAAAGCCTTAGACCAGCGCTAGTCGACATGAGACTGAACGTTTACAATGGATAAGTAGATTGTTTTAGACCAGCCCTAGTCGACATGGGACTGAACGTTTATGTGGGGCAAGTATATCATCTTAGATCGTTTATGTGGGGCAAGTATATCATCTTAGATCCTCACTTGTTGACATGAAACTGAACGTTTATGTGGGATAAGTAGATTGTTTTAGACCAGCACCTAGTCGACATGAAACTGGATGCTATATAGATATAAATAAATGGTATCAGCATGACACTAACATGACACAAAGAAAAGTGAACATTTATCTCGGACAAGTAGAAAATCTGTAAACTAACGAAAATATCATCCTTTTATAATCAATAGCACGGCATTCACCACCAACAACTTATACAATTAAACAATATATGAACTTGTGCTCTGGGCTCCAAGGACCTAGAACTCTACTTGATTTAGTATTGATGACTTAATTACTATACAATAATAGCTAATTTTCAAGTCAGACACTGACCAAATGAGGTTACACTGACGAAAGATGGCAAAATATATACAGACAGCGTTTCATTAAATGCTTTCGGATATTTTGCTGTGAATAAATATATATATATATGTAAACATAAATAAGCTGGTGATGCTGCATGCTTGAAAAATATTCAAACTTGTTTGAAACTTCTCAAAATAAGTACGCTTTTAATCTGTCATAAAAGAGATGCACGTTAAGAATTATTATTTTTAGATGTGGTTTTTTTTCATGACAATTAATAACATTCGGGTGTGTTCTGAAGTTATTTATATTTTTTATATTTTCTTATGTTACAGGGCTGCAAGAGAAAGTAACTGCACCAAAACACTCAGATGTGATATGATATTTTGTTCCAACATCTCTGAACTTATTTTCATTACAAGAATATCCTTTCTTCCACCTATGGTAGTGTGATCTGTTTGATTGGCCTTTTAGAAGTTGATGAATAATAAGAAAGGTATGATACTTTATGGATGACAAGAAGTTGCAGTGTCATTAAAGCGTTTATTCATAACTTGTGTTATCCAATGACCACAGAGGAAGGTTAAGTCTAGCACCAGTAAAACAGTGATTACGAAGGGATAGGTGGAAAGCCTTAGACCAGCGCTAGTCGACATGAGACTGAACGTTTACAATGGATAATTAGATTGTTTTAGACCAGCGCTAGTCGACATGGGACTGAACGTTTATGTGGGGCAAGTATATCATCTTAGATCATCACTTGTTGACCTGAAACTGAACGTTTATGTGGGGCAAGTATATCATCTTAGATCCTCACTTGTTTACATGAAACTGAACGTTTATGTGGGATAAGTAGATTGTTTTAGACCAGCACCTGTCGACATGAAACTGGATGCTATATAGATATAAATAAATGGTATCAGCATGACACTAACCTGACACAAAGAAAAGTGAACATTTATCTCGGACAAGTAGAAAATCTGTAGACATGTAAACGCTTGGAGGTCTGAAATATGAAGGTGTGATGTTTGTCTACGTTTGGGTGGTGTAAATAGAAGCGAAAAAGCCCTCTACACATCCGTAAGAAATCTCTGCTAATAGCAGACTCGATTGTAGAAATCACTTCAAATCAGACTATACCACGAGTATTTGTTTGCTTGACGCAGGATTACAACTGTATGACGCGCTCTGTAAACAATCGAATCAGAACCAGAAAATCCAGTGATTAACACCATGAGACATGATGAGAGAGGATGTGTTTATGAATCACTATCAAATAGAAATGATACCGCATGTTCGCTAAAAGGAGAGGGTATCCTGCCAAACCGGTTGCACCCGTCAGAAACATAATGCAAAAACTAGCCAGCTGTTCAAGCGGGAACGTATGGTACAATTCAAAATAGGGAATTGGATTTTTTGTCACTGATGCATAAGCCTACCTTGGTGTTGTTCCAGATGAGATTGAGCCTGTATCCAGGAAGAATGTCCTCCCTAGCATTCACCTCTGCTAGCGCCATTTCCACTGCCACCACCTGCCCTGCCCCTCCTCTCCAGGCCCCTTCTAGGGGGAACAGTCCTAGGAGGTACAAGTCATGAACACCTGTCACCACCCCCAGGGTCGACAGGAACCACACCACACCCAACATGCACAGAGACAGTTGATACGCAGAAGGATGCAAGCGCGCCTTGATGTTTTGAAAACACCGTTGCTGGTGGTTATATACAAATAGCAACTATATATCTTTCAATCTTATGCCAGTGCAAGCACCCTGAACCTCAGATGAGTTCCAACTCCTTCTGATTGTTCTTCAACACAATCTGGCCAGTTCATTCAGTATTGATTGTGCCAGTCACCAGTGCCAGTGTGCTTCCACCAATAGCCTTTGATTGGGCTCTGTCTTCTGAACAGGTGGGAACGTATAGCCTGTCCATGAGCTGAATGTGAAGAATATTTGTCATGTTAGAAAAACGGACGTTATTACATGGAATATCGACCACATAATAATATTGTGGTTCTTATGTCGAGTAATGACTCATTCTCCAGTAGCTGTCTCTTGACATCCATGCTGAGCTGCTGCGAATGTCGCCGTTACCGGTGGGAGCGAAATGTGGCAGTAATAATATATGTTCACTGTGGTTAACTGTCACTTGTCTGACAAGGGTGTCATCTCGGATCATTTCGTAGTTTGATCGAACAGGTCGTTTGCTGTGGTTGTCTTCTTTGTGAAAACGTTCGAAAAAAGAAGAGCGATCTGACAACACATTGCATGTTCATTACGAGAGCATACCGCATGTTCTACAGGATCGTTAAAAGTAGGTAGAAACTGGGATTTAATAGACTATTGGCCACTCTTGTTTCGGGTAGATGGGAACGTATGGTACAAATGCTTCCGACAATATTTTGGTCTTTTGTGGAAATGCCATCCATGTTTCTGCATAATACCGTGTTAAAATCTTACGTCAGACATGTTTGTAAATGCAGAGGTTGATTTAAACATGCAACGTCAATTAGCTGGACGGCTTGTTGTTTAACGCCACACTCAGCAATATTCCAGCCATATAGCGGCGGTCTGTAAACAATTGAGTCTGGACTAGACATTCCAGTGATCAACATCATGAGCATCGATCTACTCAATGGGGATACGATGACATTTGTCAACCAAGTCAGCACGCCTGACCACCCGATCCCGTTAGTCGCCTTTTACGTCAAGCATGGGTTGCTGAAGACCAATTCTAACCCGGATCATTCTATTTAAAGGGCAAAAGAGCTGTGAAAATAAAGGTAATATATATAACATACACTTGGGTCAAGTTGACGTCAACGCTACACCAGACTAAAAAATCTTAAGCTAATCAAATACCCATTAATCATCGATGTGATATTTAGAAGAAAAACATCATGTCAAACCTCAGATCATTGTTAGTAGTATTCAAAGATTTTCTTTTCTTCACCGATGGAATTACATAAACATCCAGTACATTCTATTGATCCTTTGTTATCATAGAAAGATTGACTTAATTCTATATCCAGCATGTCTTTAATATCCTAGCATTTCAGGATCATCAGTGAATGTCACTGCTCTCATGAACCCCAACACTGTTCAGTTTTATTGATTAAGAACCAGTTCTTTTGTATTGATGTGCGGTGCCATGGTTTATTGACGCCAAGGTCTGGAACAATGACAAATTACACAAAACACAGGTAATACTAATTTAGCATGGCAAGTGTACTGAGTTTTTCATCGACCGAATTTATAACGAGTTTAGTGGGTCACTCACAAATTGGTAAACCAGTTAGTCTGGTCATTTCAACTGTTTGTGTTGGGACGACCTCAAGTAAGATGTTTCGCTCAGACGCTTGAGGATGGTCAATAAGCTGGAACTACGCTCACATCATGCATGTATGGAATGTTGAGTGAGTGAGTATGATTTTACGCCGCTTTCAGCAATATTCCAGTAATATTACGGTGGGGACACCAGCAATGGGCTTCACATATTGTACCCATTGTCCCCGAGTCTTCAACGTGACGAGCGAATGCATTAAGCACTGGGCTACCCCATCGCCCCGTATGGAGTGTTGAATGAATTTTCCTATGACGCCCAAGTTGTCTTTCATTCCAACTCAAGAGCTGGCATAATGTTGAGTGAGTGAGTGAGTTAAGCTGTACGCCGAACTCAGCAATATTCCAGCTGTATGGCGGCGGTATGTAAATAATCGAGTCTGGACCAGACAATCCAGTGATCAACAGCATGAGCATCGATCTACACAATTGGGAACCGATGACATGTGTCAACCAAGTCAGTGAGCCTGACCACCCAATCCCGTTAGTTGCCTCTTACGACAAGCATGGGTTACTGAAGATCAATATTCTAACCCGGATCCGGTTCATTATGTTGAGAGCGGCGTTAATCGACAAATCCTAAGTTGATATGAAGAATTTCTTTTAAAGTATATATATACTGAAAGGCTTGATACGGAGATGTCATATTTCATATAGAAAGAAAGCGAGAGGTTGCATTTCAGGAGTTTGACACTGAGAGAATGTGTTTCCGTAGTTTCATACATTGTATTTGTTCAAGCTGATATAGAGGTTCTATGATAAGTACATGTAGTGTCATACAGAGTAGTTTGTTGTAGAGAATGTATATTTCACGTATTTGGAGAGCTTTTTAATTCAGTTTGTTTGATACAGAGTTTCTATTTCATGTAGCTTTATACAGCATTTTCTATGTATGTTTTATATCTAAATAAAGCAACATAATTTCCCGTAATCATGAAAAGTATGTATGGTTCGAATCCGACTACATAATAAACATGTGTTCGTGAATCAGCAAGATCAAATAGTGATGTAGGTGATCGTGAACAGGTGAGCACATCCTGCCGGACCCGTAACATGAGTCACAAACACACGCAAAGGCTTGTCATGTGTTCACCTGAAATACCACGGGAACATGGTACAAGTCAGAATATGGAACTGCGTTCCATTCCCTAATTTTAAAATGTGTCTTTCTTCTGCCACAAATCACGGATGGAAAACAGCCTAAGGCACCACATATACAGAACATTTCCTCGTTGTTAATATTAAAGTGTAAGTGTTATTTTTTCCTCTTTTTGTGTGCCCATTTCTGGTGTCCCCCGCCGTGATATTACTGGAATATTGCTAAGAGCGGCGTTCACTCTTTTTGTGTGTAGTGTGTGTGTGTGCGTGTGCTTGCGTGCGCAAGCGCACTTTGGGAGGACAGCCATTAGGATGTTTGTTTGAGTGAATATTGTTTTAAACTGTATCCGTTTCATTATATAACGACTTGTGTCATCAATGCACTATACCAATTCCATTTTCACATCCTTTTATAAAAACCCAAATCAATAAATATTAACTAATCAAGGCCAGATACCGCCATTTAGTTAGTATCATCAATTACCCGATATATAAGTCTGAACCGAAGAACCTTTCACAATAATACGTATTTCGTTTGCAAATCCCGCAGGGTAAATTGAGGATTATCAATAAAGAGACACTCAGCATTTAGTTATGATGGCACCGTGAAAGAAGCAAAGTAGTGTCACTATCATTTTCAAGAGGATCAACCAGAATTAGTTTGACATGATCACCATTCAGGAAAAGCCATGCGGTACATTTGGAAAGGTTCGCTTGAGAGGATTACATTTGAACATTAATTTCAGAATCTTACTATTCCAAAGCTCTGAAATACTGAATAAGTCTACGTGCTTCTTAAAGGGAAAGACTCCATGTCATAGGGAAGAACCATGTTTCTTTTCACGGAGGTTTAATTTTCGATGCTTTGTATTGGTGTGTGTGTGTGTGTGTGTGTGTGTGTGTGTGTGTGTGTGTGTGTGTGTGTGTGAGTGTGAGAGAGAGAGAGAGAGAGAGAGAGAGAGAGAGGTGGTGTGGTGGATGGTGTGTGTGTGACGTGTGTGTTTGGTTGGTGTGTATGTGGGTGGTCTGTGTGTGACGTGTATGTGTGACGTGTGTGACGTGTGTATGTGGTGTTTGTGTGTGTGTGCGCGCGCGCAATGTTTGTTTGGCACAGAATATTGTTTCAGTTGGCTTTCAAGTTTAGGCATTGACTGAATGATGACTTTTATCAAGTAACGTCTTGCGTTCTCGATACAATCATCCAATCCAATTCACTTGGTATCAGGATTCGACAAATATGCAAATTACATCCAATAGCAGAAACTACTTTCGACAGGGTTTTTCCGCGGGTATTTCTTAAGGCCAACATGGCTGCACATTATTTGGTACTATATGATTAACCGGGCAGTTTACTCAAACATTGTATCCATACGCGTTTTCATACCTGCTCCACTGAGTAAAGTTATCTTTCAAACGTACGTTATTTTGACAATGGCATTATGTGATAAAGTAATATATTAAGAACCCATGTTTGTCGTAAGACGCGACTAACGTGCTCAGACTCACTGATTTGGTTGATGCATGTCATCGTATCACGCTGTTGATCACTGAATTTGTCAGACAGCCGCCAGCAATATAGATTATTTGCAGACAGCAATATATCTGGAATATTGCTGAGTGCGGCGTTAAACAACCAACCAACCACCGCGTGATTCAGTATTGTCAACGTTCGTACAGGCTCGCATTAGACCATTTTTAACCTAATATATTCCCTCCATGAATACAGAGGCCGTTTCCAGTATACATCCAGGACTGCATCACGAGCATGTGTTTATGAATCCCGATCAACCTATTCTCCTCGAGAAAACGTGAGCGTATCCAACCTGACCTTTGCCATTCGTCACAAACACATGCAAAGGCTAGTCATATGTTCACCTGAAAACACACAGGACCATTCAGCCAATAAATGCGTGTATCAGACAACCAGAGTCATGCAGTAATAGTGAGTTTGGTTTACGCCGCTTTTAGCAATATTCCAGCAATATCACGGCGGGGGTGGGGACATCAGAAATGGGCTTCACACATCGAACCCGGGTCTTCAGCGTCTTCAGTGTGCCGATCGGACGCTTTCACCATTAGCCTACCCCACCGGACCGTTACCTACAAGAACAGACAATAGCATTGAACAAATTTGTCTTTGTGATGGAATATTCCATACAATGAAGGTGACCTGAAATGGGGTTTAACATCGCAGTTTAAGAATATTTAGCTCATATGACGACGCGCATGCGTGTGTATGTGTGGCTGCTTGTACTAGCCCATACTCACGCCGGTTTTAGTGCTAGCTCACTGAGATACCATGCCGCAGTTAAGAATGAATACCCCACTCAGACACATTATACTGACTCCGAACCGACCAGTCCTTGTTGTACCCATTAATGCCGAGCGCCAGGCAGGGACCAACAAGTACCATATTTTAACGTGTTTTGGTATAACGCGGCCGGGGATCTAACCCGCGGCCTTCCGCTCTCCGGGCGGACGCTCTAACCACTACACCACTGAGGCGGTCGCCATACAATGTATGTAGCTAGTGAGATTCTAGGTGTACTCACTCGAATGACAAAAGCAAGCTAAATGAAGAGGTTGGTTTATGGATTTAAACTAATACAAATAACGAATACCTTTCGTTCAGACCTCGAGGTACGACAGGTAATAAAGGTATGACTGCTCATTACAACGAGGCCCGCTTGTTCAGAACCCACACATTGTAACGTAAGCTAAACTCGTAACCAACCATTAAATATTGAATCGCACGTAACAAACCGTTACCTCACTATTAGAAAATCAATAGATAACAATTTGGTTAGCTAACCATCAGTTACAGTTTAATATATTGGTTAAAGCATCGATTAAGTTATATGTTATCCTATAGTTCCAAGCGTAGGAGCTTGGTGTGGTTCTCAATAATGGCCGAGACATCCCGAGGAAACTAAAAGAAAAATGGCAAACAAAGAAAAGGATTTTTTTCTGAGGGTAAAAATACAATCGAGTCATTGGAGGGTTGCATTTCACACGTACTTCGTGAAGAACACAGATATAAGTTAATGACAGAAAGTTTGGTA